GCATCGAAAGATTTAGAAATTATTCTACAACAGTAAATATCTACGTATGTTATTTTCTACATTCAGTGAAAATTTAGTTAAAAGTGAATTTTTATATTATACTATGCTAAGTTATGAAAAGCTGTAACGTACATTTGACATAGGTGAAATCGCCTAAAACCTTTAATTAAAGGGACCTAATTATGAAAATCATGACTGACTTTATGTGAGGAAATGGCCTGAAACGACCACCTTTTTCGAATCCTATTAAACCATGGGCCAATTTTAGAAAGCTACATAACGTATACTCGTCTAGTCTCTTTCACTTCCCCCCAATTTATGTTCGAAACAAATTTAATTTATCCTTTTTAACGCTCGGCGAAACACAAAGCGGTACAAAATTCCCAACAAAGTGCAAACGCATAGCTATAGGTCCAGCAATTGGTCAGCCTTTCGTCTCACCGTAATTGTTTTAGCGCTGAGCGAAAGGTCAAAGGTTCAAGGTTCGATTCCGACAGTCGCCGGGCATTGTCTCCCGGCGTAATCTGATCGCCGTAAGGTCACTTCCCCGTAGCGGCTGCGGACTATTGAAGGCTCATTGATGGATTTCCAATAATCGAATAATGCTTTGACGCAAGGCTAGGTCAAGTGCGAAATCATAAAAAAACCGGCCAAGTGTGAGTCGAACTTGCGCACGAAGGCTTCCGTAATACGTATGGGAGCCCCACTTAAATATTATTTTATTCTGCGTTTTAGTATTTGTTGTTATAGTGGCAAGAGAAATACATCATTTGTGAAAATTTCAACTGTAACTATTACGGTTCATGAGATATTGGCTGGTGACAGACGGACAGACAGACAGCGGAGTCATAGCAATAGGGTCCCGTTTTACCATTTAGGCACGGAACCCCAAAAACAATTGCGTACAACGTTAATATTTCCTTGTTTATGCCTCTAACATTCATTTGATTGCAATGAAATTATGGTGTATTCGTCTGCCGAGGAAAAAAATAAATAAACAGTTGTCATACGAGATGTTGTGGCAAAATATTTATTGGTATTATTATTTCGAACATAAAGGCTATTGAAAAAGGTGCCATCATGTGAACAGTTTCGATATCTGTATTGTAAGGCAGTCAGAACTCACGTTTTCCTAGGAATTTTTATAACATTCGCTGCAAGCAAACAAGCACTGAAACATAACAAATATTAATATAACAAGCTCCATTTCAAATTTCATCCTTTGTTAGAAGATAAGTGTACATACTATTTATATTGTATATTAAATATTATCAGTTTGCAATCAGGACTGTGTATTCATATTATTTACAAGCTGATACTTTGTCTGTGATGCATATTATATTAACAAGTACACTCCACTGCAAGAAAGCTCATATCAAACTTTGTTAACTTTACATTGAATGAAAATACCACAGTAACTTTTATAGATAAGGACCAAATGTTTAAGAAATAAAACTTAGAGGAATTAACACTCAAATTTTTATAGTGCTAATCTCTAAATTTAAGGTGAAACATTAAAATATACAGAAAAAGATATTCACCGCACTAGGAATCGAACCCACGTCTTCCGGATTCACGCCCGGACACTTTAACCACTAAGCTAAACGGAATCTTGAAATCCAATTGAGATCTATCCAGTAGTTTTTCCGTGATGCTGGCTAAACGGTATCTATCATTTCATTTACAAAGATGACTCTGCTTGTAAATACCTATGCAAATGATAGTAAAATTTCGGCGGATATGTTATCACAACGAATATTTCCATTCGTTGCGGTAAATATAAGGTATCAATAGATGCGGGATCGAATTACTTTGTTTAAACAGAAAGGTAGGTCTATGCACATTACTCATACACTACAAGGACATTATGTTTTGGTTCGTACAGCCAGTGCCAGATTAACCACATAACAAGAGTAAGAGGAACGAAAGGGGGCCCCGCACATATAAATCGACTCATCTCGCCATGAGCGTAATTTTCTGAATGAAACTTATTAAGATATGGTATATTGAATGTTGTGGGCCTATGTTCAGCAGTGGACTCAAACAGGCTGAAATGATGAAATGATGATATTGAATTTACTTGAAATATGTGTTGAAAAAGTTATTTGTGTAATATCATTAGTTTTCAATTGTTAGTTTCCTATCAAAATTATTCGAAATTGCCAGGCAATCTCAGCTCTGGGTGTTTGTACTTGTCAGAGCCTATCAGAGCCTACTAGTAACCTACCAGGCTATTAATTACCCACAAAATTGTAACCTATAGATTGCAAATAATCGATTTGATTATTGAATTGTGTTTTTACCACTTTATACTTAAGAACCCATAGCAGATCAAGGGCTCTCAGAAATAATTTGCTACGGGTCCCGCGTTTGCTTTATCCAGCACTGCGTACAGCTGTATTAACTCCACGATTGAGTTAAGAAAATTACGACACGGCAGTTTTCTTGACTCAGTGGTAATTTACTCAAATTTCTGACATTTTTAACTCGTCAACATCTCTCACTCAGTTGCACATTTATTAACATAATGATTGCGTTGTGATTTTATACATTTTCATCTTGAACACTTCAAAAAATGGTGAAAGTGGATTTTTTTTTATTTGTTATATAAGTGGAGTTTTGTAAAGTTAAAGGCAATTGAAAAGACCATAATGTATTTTATAGCGGATATTTTGTCGTGCTGCTTTTTCCTCCATGTTTTGTCAGTAAGCCCGCACTTAAAATCTCAATCACTTCACAACATCATTGGTCCTGGGATTTGAACTCGGGTTGCTAGACTGCATTGAATTAAAAACGAATGCCACACAACTATACATATTCAACTAGTAATCATTAAATTATTAAGTCCAATTAAGAAAGCGATGAATCGATAATTTAATGAATGCGATCTAATTTAATATCGAACTTCTAACCTTTGATGCAAAATTGGCGGGCAGCACCTGTCAAATTTGACCGATTGAGGCTTGGAGGCCCGTGTCGGACAAAAGGTAATACATGCGCTACGGGCCCGCCTTGACCCGACAAGTTGCAACGCCCTCCTATTATTGTCTGAACTTAAACAATGTATTACGAAGCCGGTGTGTGGACGTTCGTTAGCGAGAAACCATTAGTTCAATTGAAACCAAATCGAAACCTATTTAGTTTTACCTATGATTTATTTACTTTACAACGTTAGGTATTATTGAGGATAACATTATTAAGAATGTCAATGAAATAACTCTACAACGTTCCCAGTCATAGGGAGGCTATAAAAAGATAAAACAATGGACATGCCAAATACGTAGTTTAAATTGTAAATTTATTGGCACTCGTCGCAATCTCAAATTGCAAGTCAAAATCTCCCCAACCAAAGCAGAAATAGCTTACGTCAAAATTTTCAATGTACACTTAGTATTATTGCAATGAATACATTTATTTCTACAACGATATCTCTCAATCAACACCGACAAAGTTATCGTTGTCGTAACTGTACGTAATACACGTTCAGCACCAAAAACCTCCACAACATTTGCAATGTAACATGGCTTAACTTACGCAAAACGTATCACTTATCCCTATACAACTGACACGCAAAAGAAAGCGATGTCCTTAGGCAAAGGTTGTACATGACTTGAATATTTAAGTTATGCCAAATATGTCATTGTCGGAATGTAGGCTGCCATGTATATCAAATAAGTAGCTTGAACTTTGTCTGCCATGAAGTCATTACATAATTGTAGTAACTAGTAAGAATTGAAATTGATATAAGGTTCCCTTTCCATTTCTAGCTAGGAAATATGTATTTCTTTTCAAATACCAAGGACAGTCTTAAAAAAATCTTTAAAATAAGTTGAGGTAGGGCCACCCAGCAGTCTTCCTATTGCACGAATGGACAGGTATGTCCAGAGAAGTACCACGACCACACAGAAGTTTTCGTCTGGTGAGTAAGGTAACCGGGGCCCACCAAAAGGTGCTAACGTATCAGCAACCATACGGGTGTTGCAAATGTTCATAGACGGCGGTTATCACTTAAAAACAGGCGAATCGCCAGATCAGTTGCCAAATTCTCACATAAAAAAAATACTGCATAATGAAAACTTGTGGATTTTGAAAGAAAATCATGATTATCATGTTTTATAAAGCGTAAAAACATTAATTGTAACAAAAAAAACTTTATTTCAAAAGTGTTAATGTCGAATTATGGTAAGCGCCATCTCTTATCAAAATAAAAGCCCTGTTGAAAACCACAACATATAAATACTACTGATAACTGATAAAATTAGTCTACTTCTAGTATATACCTGTATTAATGATGCTGCACAGTTGTAAGTAATATCACAAATAAATATAATTGATTTCATTAAAAATATTTAAAAATAAAAACATGTTCGACATCATCCATAATCTGTAATAGTAACCTAAAGTACAAATGTCACTTAACACTGCACATTTGTCAATACATTATAAGAAAGTCGTCAAAAATAGCGAATTGATTTGACTCGGAACGGTGTTTTACATGCGTTATGTTTTGAACTAAATATTATCAAATAATTAACAGTAACATTAATTATTCAATTCAATATATTCATTTTAGAAACGTGTATAATAACAAAGTGCATTGCGTTCTGGGCAATTATACGGTACAACGCGTACCATAATTGATTTTGTTTGTTCTCCTGTCGTCAAAACGAAGTTGAATCGGCTATTTCAGAGTGAAAATCTATGTGTTCGACAATTTTTTTTACAAAAAGTATAGGTATTTGACGTGTACCAAATGTTGTAAGCATTAACATTTACAAGCCGAAATAAACTCTGTAAAATGTCGATGCCACATAGCAGTTCAAGTACGACAAGCTCCAGTACAAAGCGCAAAGAGATCTATAAGTAAGCTGTAGTCTTTATATTCACAGTTGTTAGTTAATTTTACACAAAAGAATTCTTCATTTATGTGTTTAACAAATAAACATACAGATAAGGTTTAATTTTGCTGTAGATATCAAGCGCCATGGCCCTTGTATTCAATGAATTGGTCAGTAAGACCCGACAAGAGGTTTCGCCTGGCCCTGGGAAGTTTTGTTGAAGAATATAACAATAAGGTAATCATATAACTTCTAACATTAATTTATTATCAAATGTTATAAAACTTACTATAGATTTGGTATTTCATTATATTAAATAACGTTTTTTATAATCATTTGCATAGTTTAATATACAGAGTATCACTAATAACGTGACCATAAATCAATACACATTTAGAGGATAACTTATTAAAATTGTATTAATAATTTATATTCCTTAAACTATTATATTTACCGAGTTATCGCATTTTCCAAAACAAACAATTTTAGAACATCCTTACATATAAAACTGTAACGTAAAGTTCATTTATAAAGGTCACAAAGCATATGAATGGTTTGAATGAATTTGAAAGGGATAAAACATACTGTTAGAAGGAAAGATTTGTAATGCGACGATGCGGCAACTAATGAAAAAGTGTCTGAATGTATGAATCAGTCAGTTGTAGTTGTATATGATGTAACAAATTTTGTTTCTTTTTTATTTAATTAGTTTGTTTGAAAAATGTTTTTTTTAATTATGGATTTTTTTAACCTTTTATATTTTTCTATGCTTATTGGCAAGTAGCTTTAGATGCGTCTTCATTTATGGTCGCTTTTGTAACGACGCGCTGTATGCTTTAAATAATGAAATCTTTATTTACAGTCTATATAAAATTCCACTCCCAAAAAATTTTATAATATTGAACTTTATCTCTAGGTACAAATTATATCTTTGGATGAAGAGACAAGTGAATTTAGTGCGAAGAGCACTTTTGACCATCCATACCCAACAACTAAAATTATGTGGATACCTGACAGTAAGGGGGTGTATCCCGATTTGTTAGCCACTAGTGGTAAGTGATGCATAAAGTCAAATCATCATAATATTATCGCATTATTCTACACATTTAAACAATTACTGGAAAGTATTTGTTCTTGATAAAGTAATATTAGTAAAAATTAATTATTAGTTTTAATAAATATTATTATAAATGTATAAATTTTTGTGACAGTATCTTAATACTAGACTCACATTTGTGCTATGTTTTGGGCTAAATGGCCTTTATATACATAGATAGTATCAATTTTGTTTATCTCCCCTTTTAAGGACAATGTGAAATAAATCTGTGCTATTCTGGAAAGCTTGGCAATAATGATAATTATTAATACTTTTACTTTTACTCCTATGTTTATTATAACATTTTCGATTTCACCTTGACATGTGTATAATGTAATGATAATGTAATGAATTTTGCTTTTAGTTTTGGATTGATTTAAATTGTATTAGTTTAATCGTTGTTTTTTCAATGCTTAAATAATCCTGTTTCTCATGCAAATACCACATTTAATTGAAATGTCGTATACACCTATAATTGAGGTGGCACTTAACATGTTTTTCCATATAAAAAGTGTACACTTAAATTTTTTCAGTGTCCATTTTGTTGCTGTATCAAATAAATAAATAAGATTTAAATGCATTAATGACTCTACGTGATCCAGGTGACTATCTGCGCATCTGGCGCGCTGGCGAACCTTACACACTCTTCGAGTGTGTGCTTAACAACAACAAGAACTCAGACTTCTGCGCACCGCTCACTTCTTTCGACTGGAACGAGGTGGATCCCAACCTGATTGGGACGAGCAGCATTGACACCACATGCACCATATGGGGCCTGGAGACGGGCCAGGTCCTTGGTCGAGTGAATGACGTGTCTGGGCATGTGAAGACTCAGCTAATTGCCCATGACAAGGTATAGTTCAGGCATAGTTTAATAAAAATCAGTGTTTTTAGGATACAATACACAGGAATAAGATTGTGATATCGCAGCAATTATGTTAACATCGACGACCCAATCAACTCTGTGGATAATGAGCCTGTCTCTTAGGCCAGAAGTTGTGGGTTCGATCTGAAAAATTGTGTGCTAAGCGTACTGCTTATGCAGTGCCTGTGTGTTTAAATATCTATAATATGTATCTATTTACAAAAGAGAAATATTTTCAAGTATGTTTATCAGTTATCTAGTACCCATTTGTATATTGTGTAGAAGAAATTGGAGTAACAACTACTGCTATCTAAAAAATCTATTGTAGTTGAAAACATTACTCCTTACTGTAAGAAAACATTAACATGTATTGTAAGAATGTTTTACATACATAAATTTTTTGTGGACAAACACCCAGACCCGAAACAATTATCTGTGGGTAACACTCAAATAGTTTGGGAATCGAACCGACTACCCCTGGCTTCGAAGGCGACACCTTGTCACTGCGCCACATAGTGAATCACCCCACTAATGACATAGTAAAAGCTTTTCTTAGTTTGATTGGTATACTAATGCTTAGGAGGTGTACGACATCGCGTTCAGCCGCGCCGGTGGTGGCCGCGACATGTTCGCGTCAGTGGGCGCCGACGGCTCCGTGCGCATGTTCGACCTTCGCCACCTAGAGCACTCCACCATCATCTACGAGGTGGGCGAACTTAAACCAAAAAAACTTAACCTCTGTCAGCTGCCTCCCTCCCCCAAACTCTCTATTTACATCTACATTCACCTCCAGATACCGCCCACCCCACGGTCAGCTTAAAACATTTTATCAGCTGTCTCCCACCCCCAATAACTCTAAATTTACCTCTATATTAAGCTACAATAACCCCCGCCCTATGGTCAGCTTAAAACTCCTTATCATCTGTCTGCCACCTCTAACTCTTTACCACCAGTTAACGCCACTCCACCTTGATCCCTTTCGTTTTTCTCATTTTCCTTCTCTCTTAGCCCAAGTTGGACATTTCCTATCATATTTTATGGTCATGAGTTGCACTTTACTTCTTGCTTTTTATTCTTTATGTCTTCCCTCGACCTGTTTGTTCATTCTTGACGCTATACAACATAAATCTTTTGCTCGTACCCTCGCAGGACCCGCAGCACACGCCGCTGCTGCGGCTGGCGTGGAACAAGCAGGACCCCAACTACCTGGCCACGGTGGCCATGGACGCGTGCGAGGTGATCATCCTGGACGTGAGGGTGCCCTGCACGCCCGTGGCGCGCCTCAACAACCACCGCGCCTGCGTCAACGGCATCGCCTGGGCGCCGCACAGGTCTCTTTATTTATCTATATATATATATATAATTCGTCTGTACGTGCGCATGTCACTGAGCTCTGTTCTGGTGAATTCGAGAACGGCTTAGAGTCACAAAGTTATTCAAAAAAGTTTAAAATTTTCAAATTTAAAACGTGTGTACAGGACGTCTGTTCCGGTCCGCTAGTTTATTTATATATTGATTGTAAACGAAACACAAAACATAAAAGGAAATGAAATAATTAAGGATATACACAAAAAGTAAATTAAAAAATATAAATATTAATTAATTAACTCATCGATTAAGCTTCACTCAATAGATGAGTTCTCTGCCAGCTACACCGAAATTTTTTTTTATGTGAAAGGCTCTTCTCAGGTGCGTGGCTTTTTTTTTCACCAGTAGTAGTGTTTTTTTTTTGGCAATTAATAAGTAACTGTAATTAATGCTTCTATATTAAATAAAGATATTGGAATTTTATTGCCTCACGAAATGTATGTGCTTTGAATTCACGCCGGTCTTCTTTGAGGCCGTGGTACTTCATCAATACTTGCAAGAGCAGAAGCTGATACTCTCTGGTCTCTCTTGGTCTTTTAAATCATTTGATCATCCTCTTAATCCATATATCTATCGAAACGACGACAAGTGAAACGCAAGCTTTTGTGTTCCATTACACTTTGCAAGCGAAATGGAATAAGGAAAAAGAAATCAGTTATAGGCTCACGTTATCCCATAAGAGCAGGAAGAGAATTTAATTTGGAATCGAGTCTGATAGTAACCCTACCCTGCCACCAGTTCCTGCCACATCTGCACGGCGGGCGACGACCACCAGGCGCTGATCTGGGACATACAGCAGATGCCGCGCGCCATCGAGGACCCCATCCTGGCCTACACGGCCGCCGAGGGCGAAGTCAACCAGATCCAGTGGGGCGCCACCCAGCCCGACTGGATCGCCATCTGCTACAACCGCCACACGGAAATCCTGCGCGTCTAAGCCCGCTAACCGGCTCGAAGGACCAACTCCATCACCGGCCTTGTGAGATAGACTACAATACGAGGAAGCTACTAATGTTCAGTAAGTTTTTGGTATTCCTCTTGTACGGTCACTGTTCTACATCATTACCAATTACTGTGTCAAGAGATCGTAGATCCGGTATGCGATTGGGATGCAGGATCACACGGCACTGTTATTGTAAGCGGCGGATTCTCAAACACGAAAATAATGGCATAGTTGTTCACTTGGATCATTGCAACGAAAATGCCTACCAGGTGTTAGTCTTCTACTGTCATTCGATATTTGAAAAATAGGAAATTTCAATATAGCATGTCATCCAAAATATAATGCTCATCGCACAATCACACCACGTGAATTTAAATTATTATAAATATAAATGTAGGCGCCGTGCCAAATGGCAGCTCTGAACATATATCACTAAAACATGATGAAAAAGTTAAATTTTGTGTAAATATTATTATAAAGAACTCAGAGATGCACAAATTGATGACGTTAAATGACAAGTTACTTATGAAAATTGGCAGAAAAATAACTTTATAATAATAACTAAACATGAATCATGCATTAATAATTATAAAAAGACTGACAAAATTGAGAGTAAGTGTAAGGCCACTTTAAAAACCTTAGAAAATTTAAATAGAAACTGGTGGAGTGAAAAGGAAAACTATTTAATCTAAGCATGCTTGATTTGACCTGAGATAAATTGCTAGATTAAAAGAAGCCTGAAAATTAAACTGTATAATATGTAACTTTCATTGTATTGGGCAATTGAAATGTTTGATGTTTTTTAGCTTTCTTTTATTAACATCTCTTTTTATCTGGTCTTTTTTGCTGACCATATTTGACCTTGAAATCCTGCTTTTTAAAATACTGAATTCCCACAACTGATCAAACTTGATCTGAAGTGAGCCATGTTGGCTCAATGTCGAGGAACTAAAATCGCCATGTGATTCCGAAATAATCTTGAGTATATACAATAATAATATTGAGTATATTACGCTATATTAAAATGGGTGAGTTTTTCAGTATTTAGTAATGCTGTGACATCTAACCTCAGTAAAGCAACTTTCACGAAAAGGATTGAAATAAATTGATAATAATTTCATGTTATAAATTAATATATTTTTACACCTGTTACATCAAGTCATGTTGATAATAATAAAAATGTGTAGAATATGCCAATCCTAATTCCATCTGTTTGGATAAGAACAACCATTACAATCCTTTTCAAAGGAAAATGTTGACTAATCTAATGTTTTAAAATTTTAATCAATTATTTAAATAGAAAAACTACGAAAATTTATTACAATAATACATTAGTTTTTAATACCAACCTGGTACCAATTGGGTTTAGTAAAATAACAAAAAGGATTTATTATAAACCTGACTTTTTCACATGTATAAATGGTGTCTGGTTTTCACTAGATTTAAGACCACTGTATGATGAAATTAGTGTCACTTATAAATAAGAGATGGCGCCCCACCAAATCTGAAACAAACTTTCTGTTGCAAATTTCCTTCACATTATACTCAAAATATAACCCACCTAATGACATTTACCAAGAGCCAAGATGTAACACTTCCAATTCCAATTTTAGGTTTATGGCTCCATCAATATATATGTAACACTTCATAAACTTTTATAACACATATATAAACTTACTTATAACCTCTGATTGGGTAATAATGCATTTAGGTGTAGGAAATTAGACCTGACCTGATATAAAATGATTCCAATGTAGGCTTTTGCAGATTTTTACATTTACATTTAGATGTATAGCAACAACTGTAGGGTAGTGTATAGTTTGAGACTGTTTTACTTACTTGCCATATGTAAAATGACTGCACAGTAACATCAAATAATTACTTGCAACCTCTAACGGCCGTAAATTTCCTATATTAAGACCCATGATAGCATTGTTTATTACAGTAATAAATATTCATTTAATTTTTTCCTTCCCCAACTTATGTAACACTGATTAAATAACAATTAATAATTTGCCTAATGTCATCACACGGTTATGCAAAAGTAAAAATATATAATCAGTATCTACAGGATAATGAGACGTGATAGCTGATCGTCCGGGCGCACGCTATTAGATCAATATACTAGAGCAACCCGAGATCCACCAGGAGGATTGATCCACCGGCACAAATTGTTAATTTGCTGCTGACTTATCACCTGCTCGATGAAGGAAAACATCGTGAGGAAACCTGCATGTTTGCAAAATCATAACAAAAACGATATATTTCAAAGATATATGAGGTCCGCTAATACGCTGTGTGTAATTTTTATGTACAGGACGAGAATATAAACCGTAGTATAAATTCAGACGTAAAGAAGAAGCAATGAAACAAAATTCTGTTTTTGTTTTTGTACTTTTTTCTATTTTCAGTACAAGGGAGTTTAATTCCCTTATAAATATGATTGAATGTTATGGTTATAATCCAACAGATGTGTTACATATAACACAGAAAAGAAAACAATGACATAAGTTATGTAGATATCTCAACTAACGCCAGCATATTTGGAGATGAGATTTTAATTTTCCTCGATTAAAAACAACATTCTTGACAACAAAACAAAAAAATACTGCAAATATATTTTAGTGAAAATAGTTTCAAGATACCGCGATGTCTAAATAGGATTAAAAAATCTATCCAATAATATAAAATTTTTATATAAATCAACCTAAAAGATATTTACAGATATGCACTTCAAAACGTATTAATATATTAGTCTGTTAACCAAATATAATTAATCTATGGCCTGTTTCACTTATGATGCTAAAAATATCTGTACAGTAACATATCTATTGCGCATTGTTATGTATGGCAATAAGTAAAATGTAATAATTATAAATGTCACTTTAGATAAGTGGTATGTGATTGTTTGTTTAAGTATTAGATTTTTATTTAATTTATATATACAAATAGAATTTTGTAAGCTTCTTGAATGTGGTAATAAACGATTTGAGAACATTATTCCATTTTCATTTAACAAGATTACCCACATCTCTAATTCCGAGACATAAATCAAGAACATATAGCCGAACATAGTTTACAGTTCTTCCATGACGCATTTAATATCAACATCGACTACTGATAAACAGTCACAACCAACAATGAGAATCACTTTGGTGCCCTCTGGGGCTTCACTCACACCTCTGGCCTAGAGCGAAGTCCTCGTAGACCTTGAGCAGCGAAGTGGGCGTGCGCGGCACGAAGTCCACCAGCACCCGTTCGAAGTCCGCCATGGCCACCTCGGCACACTCGATGTTCTTCTCCAGAGCCCTGAGAGCCGCCTCGTGGCACAGCGCCTGCAGCTCAGCGCCCGAATATCCTTCCGTGCGCGTCGACAGAGCGTGAGGGTTGACGTCGTCGCTGACGCTCATCTTGGCGAGTTTCAGCTCCAGTATCTGCAAGCGGGTCTCGCTGTCAGGCAGCGGCACGTATATCAGCCTGTCCAGCCTGCCGGGCCTCAGCAGCGCCCTGTCCATCCTGTCGGGGCGGTTGGTCGCGGCCAAGATCGTGACCGAGTTGAGAGGCACCACGCCGTCCAGCTCGGTGAGCAGCTGGGCGAGCACCCTCTCGTGCACCCCCTCGCCGGCGCCCCTCTCGCCGCCGATCGCGTCCATCTCGTCGAAGAATATGATCGAGGGCGCCACCTGGCGGGCCTTCGTGAACAGATCGCGCACCGCCCTCTCCGACTCGCCGACCCACTTGGAGAAGATCTCGGGGCCCTTGATCGAGAGGAAGTTGAGCCCGCTCTCGGTCGCCAGCGCCTTGGCGATCATCGTCTTCGAGCAGCCCGGGGGCCCGTAGAGGAGCACCCCGCTCGGCGGCCGGATGCCCAGGCGCTTGAAGCTGGCCGCGTGCTTGAACGGCCACTCGACCGCCTGGCGCAGCTTCAGCTTCAGATCGTCCATGCCCCCGATGTCGGACCACCGTACGTTGGGCACCTCGATCAGAAGTTCCCTCATCGCGCTGGGCCTGACGATCGTCAAGGCCGACAGCAGATCCTCCTTTTGTATGAACTCGCTCCTCCGCTTGATGCACTTGAGCGAGGCCTGCGTGCACAGGTTCACGATGTCGGCGGCGACGTAGCCGTGCGCCAAGTCGGATATCGTCTCCACGTCCTGCGCGCACACCTTGCTCGGGAGGCTCTTCAGCAGCGCGTCGAATATCTCCTTCCGCCTCAGCCTATCCGGGACCGGCACCTCGACCTCCTTGTCCAGCCTGCCGAACCGCCTCAGCATGGGGTCGATGGCGTCCGGTTTCCGCGTCGTCGCCAGAACGAACACCCTGGAGCACTCCTCGTGCAAAGTGTCCACTAGCGACACGAAGGCCGACGTGACCCGCCTCTCCTGCTCCGTACTGCCTGAAGAGCGGCGCGGACAGATCGTCTCGATTTCGTCCACCAATATCAAACACGGCTCGTTCGCCATGGCCTTCCCGAACAGACTCTTCATGGTAGCTTCGGTTTCGCCGAAGTATTTGCTGAAGATCGTCGGCCCGTTCACTTCAACGCAATAGCATTTCAAGTTATCGACCAGGTATTTGCATATAGCAGTCTTACCGATACCCGAGTGCCCAAACAAAAGCAGACCTCTTGTCGGCTGGAAGTTGGTGAAAGTGCCGTTCACGTTGAACGATATATCTATCAGAGTTTTGATCTCCTCAACAATGTCGTCAACGCCACCCAAGGTGATGGGCCTTCTCAGTTTATTCCGGGCGGTTTTCTCCTCGACCCATGTAGTTGCCTCTGTCAAAATATGCCAGTCTCTAGTGCCATAGTCAGAATTTATAGTCTTTACTTCAATTTCTAACTTCTTGCCGAAGTAGTGGTAGACCAGGATGGTGCCGACCGTTGTGAAGCAGTTGTCGAAGTGCTGCTTGAGGATTTCGCTAATGTCGGTCTCCACTGTGTGGTTCCTGATTTTGTAGAAAATGTGCATGGCAACCATTATTTCGTCCCTCATCGGGAACACGGTCACCTCATTGTTAGCACCACACCAAGAGGTGGTCAGATCTGAAACAAAAGCGTAGACATAATGACGCAATGTCGGTAGTTAAAGCCTGTACTCAAAATTTTTAATTTAATTCAATATACATTTTTTTTTATTAAATTGTAGACAAATATTTAAAGTCACTCTTAAGTAATTAGTTACATTCATTTAAATCTCGTCACTCATTTATTTTACGCGCAATCATTCATAACTAACACGCACACAAGTTCGTGCACAGTGAAATTTAGATTTTATGAATGACTACCGCATTGTCAACACATTCTGTTTTAGGGAATAGAATATTCTATAGGCTGCTAATTTACTTTACTTTCAAGGTTATCTTCCAACAATCATATTGACTTGATCAACTACAATCCTTAACATACTATGCTATAGCTGATTATATTAGCTTTCTCTATACATAAGGATAAAGTAAAATGCTTGATTTGATTGTGTTGTGGAGTAATTTCGTTATGGAGTTATTTCTAGCAATTAGTTGTCATGCATTGGAAGTAAGGTTAAATTGATTCTAACCAAACCGACAAGCACAATGAAACCTCCTCACATGTTTCTCCATGGAGTTCAAAGCATTGGCAACATTCACTCAAATTCACTTAAATTACCGTACACAAAGTTTATCATAGTTTGTATGCATTCTGAAGTCTTTAAAGGTTTTGATTTTCAACCAGAATGTATGTCTCCATTTTAAATGTTGTAAGTAAAGAGGCAAAGCATGTAATGATTAGACATTATATTTTAATAAAGGAGTTATTGTAATATATGAGTGCGCAACTGTGCCCATGCCTTTTTAGAAACATGCTATAAGTAATAAATGTGCTAGTAGCAAGCAGTTGTATCACTCATATCCCTGGTTAAGGTTAAAAAAAAACAGTTGAAAAGTATTACTGTCAAAAGTATATAGATGATTGTCCTAAAGTCAATTCAAATAAGCCAGTTGCTTTAATAACAACTAAGAAAGTATAACGGACAACTTAAAAATTGTCTGTCCCTACAGTAGTGGTTATCATTCAAGAATCATTCAAGAATATGCAACACAAAAAAAAAAAACAACAGACACAAAGATGCATAAAGTCTAAAGGCAAAAAATGGTAATGTGAAAATTTGCCAACACTACAATATTAATTATTTAGGGAAATAACATACAGAATATGAGCGTGAAATAGAAGTCTTATATTTTTGACTGCAATTGAGTTAGCTGGACCTACTTTTGTACAAGATGGGCAAGGCTCTCTTCTGCAGCTTCTCAGGGATTGTACATTTTCACGGGTTCCAGATATCACTTAACATCAGTCAAGCCACCACTAATAACCCACTTACTTGTTTGCCACCTTCTGATGAAATACTTTTGATGAAGATGCAAGGAACTTTCCTACCACCTCAGGCACAATTGAGGCAAGTATTTAAAAAGGCAGATTTTTCATATTCACACACATTCCCTAACAAAAAATTGTGCTTATCATTTTATCACTTAATAAATAGAGGAACCAAACAAGAGAAGCATTATTCTAATCCTTACTAATATTATAAAGGCGAAAGTTTGTATGTATGGATGGATGTTTATTACTCTTTCACGCAAATACTACTCAATGGATTTTAATGAAACTTTACAATAATGTAGCTTATACATCAGAATAACACAGACTATAATTTATATACATAGTCTTTCTGTCTGAATGTTACACCTTCAGCCTATTCTACGCAGATGTAGTCGCGGGCAGCAGCTAGTAATGTAAAAAGCAAGTATTACCAGCGGCCGGCAGGATAATAGCCGCGAGTGCAGAGGACTTGGAGGGCCACATGCGTTTCACAAACATAGGTTCACCCTTTCGCCAGAGCACAAGTGGTCCCCCGATCACAGCGCCTATTAGACTAGCCGCGAAGGGTGCACCATCACGGCTTCTTTGGGGGCACCTTCTGGCGACGCACTCGCTCGTTGTAACCATGTATACAATTTCCCATCCTCCACATATGGGCACTTTATTTGATTTTTCGCACAGTTCAGTTCTATATGCACACTCCTATCATTAGAGGTTATACTACAGCCGCAGTGTTCGCACTCCACCCATTGAGTCTTCTTTGCTTGCTTAGGAGGCATTTTTATATTTTTCTAATTAATTGATGTTTGAAATTAAATTGAATTCAAACAAAAATGAATAAGATTTTTGATTTTTGTTGTGAATTATCATCCTCGATCTTCCTCCCCCACTAATTTTGATTCTGACATTTCTTCTTTCTTTTTCTTGTCTTGTATTAGGAGCAGTGCAGTGCACACATACATTCTGTCAATTTTTAAGCACAACAAAAATAGCAAACTTTTGCTTATATGAAGGTTAATTCATTTATTACTATAGTACTTCTATGTTAAATATATAACCATCACATTTTTAATTTTTATAAATAAGACATGTGCGTAGATCGGTGATCTTTAAATAACAATTACATATTTTAGTAAAAGCTTCTTATTTTACCGTGCCTCATTACAAATATTATCATTGAGACATTGATATTTTACCACTAATATGCAAGTGTAGTAATGTTATGCAAGACCCTACGGTCTATTACTTTTGACTTATCAACTTATCATACATTAAATATTGACAGTTGACAGCTTCAGCTGGTGTTGCTGTTGACAATTTGACATATTTTTAATTGATTGTACTCAGTTTTACTTGTTTTTCAAATATATTTAAGAATTTGAAGACAATAAACTTTTCAAAACAATACAGTCTTTACAAGTTTTTGTTAAAGCTTTTCCCATACAGAACTTTACTTTCTAAATAATAGGTTTCACGTAAAAGTTAGGCTGTCGATAAAGTAACAAAAAATGACTCTAGCAGAATTTTTCAGTTGTTCGTTGCTCGCCTTCGGGGCTCCTTTAGCAATGTTCGCGCTCACTATTGCCAACGATCCGGTGCGAATCATCATCATGATAGCAGCTGCCTTTGGTTGGTTATTATCGTTTCTGGTTTCATCATTAGTGTGGTATGCTGTTGTGCCCCTGCGATCACATCTAGCATTTGGTATGGTTTTTGCGGTTATTATTCAGGTAAGGCTTATTCTTGTTGAACCTTGGTCTCAAAGTAAATTATAAAATTGCTGAACAAATATCCCACATAGGAAATTCTATCATTTCTATAAGAAATTGTTAAAAAAAATTTATGGTGCTTTACATCAATTCACAAATTAAAATAACAAATTTCGTAATTGTACCCTCAGGAAGTCTTTCGTTATGGCATGTATCGTCTTCTAAGAAAAACTGAAGCAGGATTAAAAGAGATCTCCGAAAACCATGATATTGGCACAAATAAGATGGAAATGGCATATGTATCTGGGCTTGGATTTGGAACGATGAGTGGTGCCTTTGCTCTAGTCAATGTACTTGCTGATTCAGTAAGTTATCATTTATTTCTTTGGTAATTCTTAATTATAATTTTGTATTTATTACTGTATGAATAATATAATTCCATCTTATAAATATTTTCAGGTTGGTCCTGGAACTCTGGGCCTTTATAATGGGACTGAATTCTTCTTTGTGACAAGTGCAGCAATGACTCTCTGCATGATACTCCTGAACACATTCTGGAGCATAATTTTCTTTAGTGGCCTTGACGAAAAAAGCCATATTAAGATAGTGTGGGTTGTTGGTTCCCACTTCTTCGTTTCTGGCTTGAGCCTATTAAACCGTAATCAGTTCTATGCTGCAACAATTCTACCTTCCTACATTGTGTTAGTTGCAACAGCAGTGATGGCATTCAAATCTGCTGGTGGTACTGGTAAAAGCCTGATGCAAACCCTGTCATCCGGATCATAAGTTGATGTAAATATTGTATTAACTAATAGGATAAGTGTCATGACATTATTTTAATTTATTAAATTCAACCTGTCTTTCTTTTAACCTATTAAGTTTTAAGTTATTAAAATTAAATTTCGATATTTAATTATTAGTTTATACTTTATACCCACTTATGATTACCAAATATCTTAATATATATACTTTTGATTAACAATAATAGTACTCGTTCATCACGCAGGACCAGAAATGAATCAAATTTTCCATAAATTGTGAATCCAGTGATTCATAGTGTTTTATTTTTTAAATTCACATTTATCATAAAAATATATTTTACAGTTGAAATAATAATTTTATATACAAATATAAAGAACAATAAAACATGCTTATCATTCCTTTATACCCTCAAAAACAAAACTTAAAAATAAGGTCTCTATAATAATTTCAATATTTCTTTAAATATTTATATCCATTTACTCTATTCATAGAGTGCTTAGGAATGAGAGCACAACTTCAGTAACTAAATCATTTCCACTCACTGCTAGGTAGCGGTCTAATTACATATAAAAGTTAAACAAGCATTTATCAATACAAACACTAACTAGAGGCAGGAACTAGGGAACAATAACTAGAGGTATGTTGCATATATATTGTAAATCACAATTATTTATTATCCTATTTAAATCTGAAAAATTGCCATGCCATTTAATCTTGTGTTTATTATGGTAGCAATGAAAACATTAAAATATCCCGCCGGATAACACTACACCCACAGTTAGTGCAACAACAAACACACTAGTTCGCCCTCGCCTCCGAGCACGGCGAGACCAACACAACGCGTACACAAGGTACACCCGCGTTCCAGGGCGTTTCTCACCGCCCCCAGCCACCGATTAGCTAAAAACAGTCGACGGCCATCGGGGTCTCGGTCCGCACCGCAACTTCGATGGCCCTTAGATGACATGTCGTAAACGCACGCATGAGCACATGCGCGGCCCTACCCACAGCGGAGGGCCCAAACCCGTGGGTTCTGGCTAGCCCACCGGTTCTGCGTCAGATGAAGCTTTAATAGTCTCGGGACTGAAAGCAAAAAACATCAGTTAATACAAGATACAAGATACAAGAAAACATTAATTAATTTTGTTCTAAATGTTCTCTTCAGACAGTTGGTTAAGCAATAAGTCCACAGTCCACACTGTGTCTGCAGTATCATTTTCCGCTGGGGGAACATAGGACATTAGTACCTCCAGTACTGCTTCCACACCTTCAGTTGACCCACTGATACCACCACCCACTTCTGCTAATGTGTTGGCGGTTTCAACATCTTTTTGGTCATTTCTGAAATGAGTTAAAGCAATGTAAATTCCATCCCCTAATTGCACTGTAATAGACATTTTTGAAGTGAAAAATTTGGATGGGAAAAAATTCATCAGCATGATAATGTAAAATGTATAGCGGCACGCATACACTGGTTGTTGTCCAATCACCGATATAGAAGAACGTCGGGTGCAGTCAGTACTAGGATTGGTGAACTACCTGGGAACACCATGTGATTTGTTGGTTTTTTTTTTGGTGGCTGATTTTAGAAGCTTTAAACTTTAAAACTGATAAAAATTATTTCTTGTAAACATACTTCAAAAACAATGTTTACTAGCTTGTGGAACTAAGAAGTTTTCACTTTTATTGTGCAGTTGTTGTATCAAAGTATCTTTGATACTTATCATCCAAATACGATTAAACAGTTACAAAATTTGTAATTTGTTTTTAAACAAAGTCAGCTGTGCTTCAGTAGTAAAAATGCCTTACTTGGAATGATTAAATTCTGTTTAATCATCTGTAATCATGAATACTTACACTGGGGGCATTGAAATTTCTTTCTCTAAAATATCTTGTAAATCATCTAAGTCCGGTATTGTTGGTATGTCATCTAAAGATTCGGGCGATTTCTTTGGTATAACAAATTCTCTGAAAAATATTTAATTAATGATTATATTTTATACTTAAAAGTTGTAAGGTTAAAAAACATTAATAACCCACTTTGCTTCTATGTGAGTTCCTTCCGTCCATACGCCTATTTTTCTAGGTTCTGGTACGCTGGAATTAAATGGTTCAGTCATAGTTTTATGTTTCACCAATTCACGTATGTTTATTAAATGTTTGTGTTATAATTCTTCTTTGGTTGCCTAGCAACTAGGCTTACACTACTGCCTAGAAGTGGGCGATACAAATCGTATCAGATATGAAAACTAGATATTAGTACAATATCCGAATATCGCTTACTGGCTCGTTCAATATCTATTAGAGCGGGATGGCAAGCAATGCACGATATCAGATATCGAGCGACAAAGCGCGTGAGATATAAATACTTACTAGTTAGAGTGGGACGGCAAGCAATGCACGATATCAGATATCGAGCGACAAAGCGCGTGAGATATAAATACTTACTAGTTGGAGTGGGACGGCAAGCAATGCACGATATCAGATATCGAGCGACAAAGCGCGTGAGATATAAACACTTACTAGTTAGAGTGGGACGGCAAGCAATGCACGATATCAGATTTTTAAACAGATATTATGAATAAGTTAAGTAATTTTGAATCTTAACACCATGCAAATAAGATCCGTTTCATTTAAATACTAATCTTGGTATCAGCGATTACTACAACGATATTATTATATTTTTATTGTTTTGTTTAGCCTTGAGCCGTAACGGGCGACAAAGCGCGCAGTTAAGTAATTTTGAATCTTAACAGCATGGAAAAAAACTCTGTTGCATTTAAATACGAATTACGGTATTAACGATGTCTTTGAAATTTTATTGAAGTATTATATACTGAATGTATTATTTCTTACACAAATAATAAAAATATTGCCACTCGATTGCGTGTTCTAAAAATATGTTAAAGTCAATTATTAAGCGGTATAAAAGATGTTAAAATAAATCATTTTTTTTTATTACTTCAATTTATATTTTTTTAATGAAATTTTTAATTTAATAATTTAAAAAAAAAAACGCATTTTTAGTAAGACAGGGTTAATTATTAATGATCGTCGAACAAGACTTTCGACGAATAAAGTCAGAGAGCTTACGTTCCTAAACGTGAATTTGAACCCGGAGGGATATAAATAAATATATTTTTTTTTTTTTTTAGAATTCAACTAATCAACGTGGATAGGGAACCGTAAAATATCTAGATATTAAAATACATAGTTTCGAAATCTGATATTTGAAATCGATATCGGATTCAGATACGGTACTCAGAAAAAGCGATACGACCCATCCCTACTACTGCCTGTTTACTAGAAGTGGGCGATACAAATCGTATCAGATATGAAAACTAGATATTAGTACAATATCCCAATATCGCTTACTGGCTCGTTCAATATCTATGTATTTTACAATATCTGATATTTCCGAAATCTGATGTACCGTGCTCGCTCGCTATACCGACACGAATCGCGATAAACGGCGATATCATACGCGTTTGCCACAATATCTGATTTTTAAACAGATTTCGAGAGACAAAGCGCGTGAGATACAAATACTCACTAGTTAGAGCGGGACGGCAAGCAATGCACGATATCAGATATCGAGCGACAAAGCGCGTGAGATATAAATACTTACTAGTTAGAGTGGGACGGCAAGCAATGCACGATATCAGATATCGAGCGACAAAGCGCGTGAGATATAAATACTTACTAGTTAGAGTGGGACAGCAAGCAATGCACGATATCAGATATTGAGCGACAAAGCGCGTGAGATATAAATACTTACTAGTTAGAGTGGGACGGCAAGCAATGCACGATATCAGATATCGAGCGACAAAGCGCGTGAGATATAAACACTTACTAGTTAGAGTGGGACGGCAAGCAATGCACGATATCAGATATTGAGCGACAAAGCGCGTGAGATATAAACACTTACTAGTTAGAGTGGGACAGCAAGCAATGCACGATATCAGATATTGAGCGACAAAGCGCGTGAGATATAAACACTTAGTAGTTAGAGTGGGACGGCAAGCAATGCACGATATCAGATATCGAGCGACAAAGCGCGTGAGATATAACACTTACTAGTTAGAGTGGGACAGCAAGCAATGCACGATATCAGATATTGAGCGACAAAGCGCGTGAGATATAAATACTTACTAGTTAGAGTGGGACGGCAAGCAATGCACGATATCAGATATCGAGCGACAAAGCGCGTGAGATATAAATACTTACTAGTTAGAGTGGGACGGCAAGCAATGCACGATATCAGATATTGAGCGACAAAGCGCGTGAGATATAAATACTTACTAGTTAGAGTGGGACGGCAAGCAATGCACGATATCAGATATCGAGCGACAAAGCGCGTGAGATATAAACACTTACTAGTTAGAGTGGGACGGCAAGCAATGCACGATATCAGATATCGAGCGACAAAGCGCGTGAGATATAAACACTTACTAGTTAGAGTGGGACAGCAAGCAATGCACGATATCAGATATTGAGCGACAAAGCGCGTGAGATATAAATACTTACTAGTTAGAGTGGGACGGCAAGCAATGCACGATATCAGATATCGAGCGACAAAGCGCGTGAGATATAAATACTTACTAGTTAGAGTGGGACGGCAAGCAATGCACGATATCAGATTTTTTTAAACAGATATTATGAATAAGTTAAGTAATTTTGAATCTTAACACCATGCAAATAAGATCCGTTTCATTTAAATACTAATCTTGGTATCAGCGATTACTACAACGATATTATTATATTTTTATTGTTTAGTTTAGCCTTGAGCCGTAACGGGCGACAAAGCGCGCAGTTAAGTAATTTTGAATCTTAACAGCATGGAAAAAAAAAACTCTGTTGCATTTAAATACGAATTACGGTATTAACGATGTCTTTGAAATTTTGTTCAGCCTTGAGCTGGATTGCATTGGTACTTAACACGTAATAGTAAGGGATGCCAAGTTACTACTTAAGAATTTTCTGCCTAAATTAAGGAAGAAAAATATACAATGTAAATTTTTTAGGAGGTAAATTTTTTGTGAATATTTTTATTAGGTGAATTTTTATTCATATTTTTGGAAAAAAATAAAAGTACACAAAAAGAAAAATATAATTTAATAGTGCTGTGCTGCTTTGGTGGAAATCAGACCAAGGCTTATGTGCCTTGTGTGTATATTTTAAATTCTTCCGCCCTAAGCTATAATACTATTAATCTATTAATCATAATAATTCTATTAATCAACGTGGATAGGGAACCGTAAAATATCTAGATATTAAAATACATAGTTTCGAAATCTGATATTTGAAATCGATATCGGATTCAGATACGGTACTCAGAAAAAGCGATACGACCCATCCCTACTGTTTACACTTTATAGATCAGTGTTGCCAACTACTAAAAATGACCCTAAAATCATGATGAAATAACCCTAAATGCAATTTTAATAGCCCCAAAAAAGCCCTGTATTGTATTCAGATATTTTTAAAATAAGTTTAAATTTTTTCAAGGTAAATAGAATATAATTTAGTTTTATATTTTTCATTACAATTTCAAAATAACATTTCATTAATAACATTAATTAATAGACATTTTGCTCCTTTTTGCTCACTTTGGTCAGTCAAAATAGCGATGCATGCAATATTATTCATGCCACTAATTTTTTTTAGACCCTAAAAAAGCCCAATATGCGTAATCCGCCACTCATAACAATAAATATAAACACATTAAGATTTTCGTCGATTTGGTAATTAGCCTTTTAGCTTAGTGGCTAAAGCTTCTGGGGGCGAATCCGGAAGACGTCAGTTCGATCCCCGCAGCGGCGAAAAACTTTTCGTCTATTTTTCTACAAATTTAAATTTTAATGGCGAAAACAACAGACCATGAGGTGCACTAAATTAATCGATTCGCGGAAACAATTATTTTTTTCGGAAAAGAAGTTCTGTTATTAACAATTGGACGATCATATCCATCCATCGTTCAGAATAAATATTCCGGAATAGGCGGTATTTTCAATACCTGACATTTTTACAATGATGCCGTTTGAATTAAAGAAGGTTCCTTCGGCCTTTCTAAGAGGACCTTAATGTAATGACAAAATGATTTATCCGTTTAAGGTGAGAACGTTAAGGTTGTCTAAGGTGAAGGGCCTCTTTATTTCCCTTAAATTTCCGTCACCAATTACAACCAACTTTGTCAAATATAAATGTCAAATACTTAACCACAAGAAATAAAGAAGTTAAATGCACCACACCACTGATGAAGAAAACAGAGTTGTAAGAAATGCCTTTACAAAGTCATTATCCCCAATTTAAACAAAACCGATTTAAAGCCTAATATGCTGTCACAGGCGTTTAATATCGGAGATTGCAAATTTGGCAAACCCTCTGGCTTTTCTAAGACCGAAGAAAGTATCGATTTCTGTGGCAAAACTCACTGAACTCGAGTTTTGCTATCTGTTTCCAAATCAAAATATCACTTCTACTTTCATCACGTTACTTCGACAACCTCTTTGATTACAGAGTAAAGGCATATAATGGTCATACAAATAGCATAATTTACAAATAGCATAATTTGGTGCAAAATTTATAAGATGACGTCTAAACCTGAGAGGGTTCAAATATGTAATACAAAGAGAATGTAATCACTACGTTTGCCGATGTAATACCGTATAATAATGTATTCTTTGTGTAATACAAGGAGAAAATAAATTTTCATGTTGACGGTCTTTCTGCCAACTTGACTATGACTCTAACTCAATATCATATCGCGGTGAAGAGAGGGAATTTATTCTATGGAATTTCAACGGCGTTGCGATCATTGAACTCGGACCATTACCTGAATTTCTAAGTGTACCTATAATTAATTTCATGGTAGAAAGTATAACCGTGAAGGCCCGTGCGTGTAGCAATGAAGTTATTAATTTTAAGAATTTAATTTTAACTTAAGATATATAATCTATAAGATTTAGATTTCATGAAGGCCGCCCGGTCCCGACACGTGCTTACTGAAGTTGAACTTAGAGTCAAGGACAACACCTAGGTATTTAACTTTATTTACCCATGGCACCGGACTATCCATGGGTTTAACGAGTGTGGAAGTAGAAGTAACACTTCTGCGTTTTGTCTGGTGATCTGGTGAGGTAGCCGGGCCCACTTTATTAAAAGGTGCAAATGTCCATGGGCGGCGGCTATCACTTAATATTACGTAAACCGCCAGAACGTTTGCCGCTTTCTCACATAAAGAAGTGCAATTGGTAACAGTTATAACTTGGAATTATAGGTAAATGTCAAAAAGCTGTTATTGGTTGCCATGGTAATACAGTGAAGTGGTCGCTTTGCAAACAACTTCATCATGTCGGCGTCGGTGTGCGCGCAGTATTCTCGCACATCGTAAAAAAATATTATAGTCAATTATAACTTAAGCGAGGTTAAATGAAAATAAACAAGATAAATAAAATTAAGCACGTAATAAGATGTAAAATAAATCACAAATTGCGATCTTCACAATAAAATCTTTATTCGTTCTTACTAACTATACAAAAATAATAACAGAAATGTCGCACATTTTAAATGTTTGTTAAGTTCACGTTTAACGTAAAAAAAGCCATAAAATCTTTATTATAAAACTTAACGTTTCAGTTTTTTATTGTTTGAATAGATGATATATATTAAATAAAAAATACAGTACAGACTTGTGTTGTTTTCTGAAATCTCCTATAAAAATAAATGGTTGATGTCCTTTGAATTTCGTTTAATATTTCGTAAAATTTCCATTCATATGATTTATTAGTCTTTGCACATAATTATGAAATAAAAATACGTCTTTTTAAAACGAAAAAAATATTTCCAAATTTTAAAAGCGAATGTTGAAACAAAAAAACTCAAATTTTAATTAAGCATGCCTAAAATCTTCCGTGTGGTTCAATCAACGTAGAAGTAATGTACCAATAATAATTAAAATTTAATACAATCTCATAAAGGTATTTTATCGCGTTAAATAGAAATTTATAAAACATTAAAAAAAAGCACCAAAGATTAATCCAGAAGCACCAATGTTTGCGTGAAAACGCTGAAACAATACTGAACTTACACAACATTCCATTACAAAAAGATAATTTACTTTAAAACTTTACTTTTATTTACTTTAGAGCCATGTTGATTAAGATTGAAAAGAAGTTAAACACTATAAACAAAATATTGTGATGGCGAAGGTCCAATAGAGAATACAAAAGAACTATATTAGTTATGTCATATGAGTATCAGTAACGCAATTTCATTAATTCTTGTGATGATAGATATGATTAATCATAATTCTCTCAACATTTTTAACAATTTTTCAGAGAAAAATTAGTCACAATAGTCATTTCTAATCTGATAGAAATGGTATTGCAATGTTGATTTATCCTCACACTTAGCTCATAATAACACAATAGACATGTGTGCATTATATTATGCCATTATAAAACTTTATTAGCTACTATTACATTTTTAAGTATTATAGGGTAAATTTTATCAAATAATCTCGGCGATGTCTAAATAATGGTATATTATATATAAGTTGATTCTTGAGGGCTGAAAAAGAAATCAGTTGTTTTTTTTTTTTTTTTTTGAATATCCATTGAAAGAAATATGACAACTTGCCAAATACCTTTTTTTCATGCTTTTAACGATTCATTTATAATTCGGACATTGTCTTAAAAATCTGTGTAAAGCTACTTAATTTGAGAAAAGTTTTCAATTGATAACATTTATCTAGATTTTATAATGAAATTACTTTTATGGACACAATTTACATTAAGTTTTCAATTTAGCTTTGATCGAAATTAAACAAAGCTGTCGTCGAAATCTGTAGATGACATATAAAAAATTATAATGTGACAGGAAAAAAAAATTATTCTCCTATTGTTTTATTGCATATTAACAATATTCAAGTGTAAAGGAAAATATATCACTATTTCATTCACTGCTAGTAATTCAAATTTAAAAAAAAAGTTACAACGCCAGTGTGAAAAACTTTAAATATATACCTAAATCGTTCTATAGCTATGATTAAAATTTACCTGTCCATATGCAAGAAACGAAGTTAGCATTCGTGGTCAGTTTCAAGATAAAGGTACTGGTAACAAAACGAGATGTCTCGAAGCAAACATTTCACTATTCACGTCACTTGAGGTGAGGTCCACTGAGCAGTTTCACAGTTCGGGCGGAGACTAGCCGCCCCCCTGCGGCGGCCAGTCGGCGTTGTGCAGCAGCTCTTTGGTGGAGAGGTCGCGCAGGCTGTCGCTGAGGTCGGCGCCGTACAGCGGGAACGAGAGGTCCGAGCTGAGCCGCATCTCCTCGCCCGCGCCCTGCACCTCCAGCAGCTTCGAGATGGACGGCGTGCTGCTGCCGCCCACCTCCATGTCCTGCGGCGCGACAACAGCGTTTTCATGTTGATACTAACATTTGTTCATGAATCGACCCTGCTGTAACACATACTGACCTGTATGAGATTTTGCTGCCCAAGGTTCTGCACGTACTGTGCCTGAGAATGGCCCATTCCGGGGGAAGTGTGACCCATCCCGGGCGACACGTGACCCATTCCGGGTGACATGTGACCCATTCCAGGTGACACCTGACCCATTCCGGGTGACACGTGACCCATTCCGGGTGACACGTGACCCATTCCGGGTGACACGTGACCCATTCCGGGTGACATTTGACCCATGCCGGGCGACACGTGGCCCATTCCAGGCGAGACGTGTCCCATCACCGGCGAGGGTTGGCCCATCGGCGCGTTGTGGCCCATGGCCATCTGCGCGTGGTGCGCGTGCTGCTGCGGCGAGAGGGGCGCGTGGCCCATCGGCGAGAGCTGCGCCATGGCCGGGGAGTGGGGCTGCAGGTGCGGGCCGGGCTGCAGGTAGCCCTGCTCCATCCAGGACATGCCCTGCGGCGCGTACTGCACCTGACTCGGACCCGCCACCACTTGGGGTATGTCCATTGGCCACCGCTGCGGACGCAATGGCGAGCGTGAAACAATTTACTGTGGTACGGACACGTCTTCTTACGTCCGGGTAAGTACCACGACCTCACAGAAGACCGGCGTAAAGTATAATACTTTCGCGTTTCGTCTGGTGAGTGAGGTGGCCGGAGCTCAATTTTCAAAAAGCTGTCAACGCATCTGTAACCCTCGGGAGTAGCAGATGTCCATGGACGGCGGTATTCACTTAACATCAGGTGAACAGTCTGTACTCTTGGCAACTTATCACATAAAAAAAGAACCTCAATGTAACAACATGAAACCTGGTTCAATTTGTACGAAAGCTTAACTAACAGTCCTGTCGTTAAGGTATATTATTTTTCAACTATTAAGACATTTATATTTAATAAATTATGAACCGTATTTATGTTTAATTTATGATTCCGAGTTGAGTTAATACTTCTACGTTTCGTCTGGTGAGTGAGGTAGCCGGAGCCAATTTTATTAAAAGGTGGCAACGCATCTGCAACCCTACGGGTGTTGCAAATGTTAGTTGTGCGGCCGGATATCACTTCATATCAGGTGAACAACCGGCTCGTGTCACCTTTTCTCACCAAAAAAAAAACTTGGTGGAGGAAACTATAGGCACCGGTGTCGCGGGTTCGTTTTCCGCAGATAAAAAAAACAGGACAAACAAATTTGTTTGGTCAGTCAAACACAGTTAATCAAACACTTAAAATACTCTAAGATTATATTGGAAATGCAATTGTCCCACGGGTGTTGTGTGTGAAGGTCAGGCGGTAATTTCTCTGATAAAAAAAAAATAGGAACCACATATGGGTTTATGTGAACAAGGTAACGTCTGGAAACGAAGAGTTATGTGCAACTCACCTGCAACGATTCGTGGTCGTAGGGCGGATACACGTGCTGGGGGCTCCGTACGTAGTTCGGCGAATCTGTGGGCACAGAGATTTTTATTCAATCACGCGATAACAGAGGCCTCGGTTTGAAACTTATGGTCACGTTTTTACGGCCGCTGTCTTTAACTCATGTTTTACCCTGAATAAGAGCTGCGATATTCACTCAGCAATAGTTATCTCGGACTACTTTTTCAATTTGTTAATGTTTTTGTGGACAGAAACTTGTTGAGTGTTAGCATTTTCGGGAGTCGAAATTTAATTTTATTCTTTGCGCTTGTCTCTGCACTCAAGAGGAAACGTTAAATGTGAATTTTAGTAGAAAAACGTGGAAATATTTTAGGTGACGCGGGATTCTAACATTTTTCTCTCTTAGAAGCGTCTTGCTAAAAAATGCAATAAAAAAAGCACTGTGTACTTTTGACGTGTTAGAAAAGGTGAATCAATAAATAATTTATGAGATATATGCTTTGCTTGTTTCACCACAAATAAATCTTAATTTTCAACCGAATTTAAAATAAAAGCTTGTAAAATCATTCTCAATTCGGTTGTTTTTCTTTTGTCTTATTAGTTGTTTTTTACCTCAGCATTTCGTTAGAGGAGATATTTATTTCCAAGGGAGACACACTTGTTTTAATTTCATGGGCATATATATGATATTGAAGATTGGATTGGATTTGAAGATACACCAAATGAAATATACCAAATATCAGTGAGATATTTGAAGTCTGTCATGTTTTCTGTTAACAAAATGTTATTTTATGTTTTGCCTGTCGTAATATCAAACAGATAACATAACTGGTGATCCCCCGTTCACTGCCACCGTCTTACATAAAAAAGACATAAGCATTCGAGGTTTAGAGAGTTAAGTGAACTATATTTTATGTGAAACACTCACCTTTGGGTTCAGATTTGACCTGTCCACCGATTTCTAATGAGAAGGGATCTGTGAAGTAAACAATAAATTAATGAAATAAACCAAATTAATTTACTTTGCCTTAATACTCAAGTAATAACAAATTATGAGCGTTAGTGATAAACAACAAAAATAATAAGATAAAAATAATTAATAATTAATATGATAAAAAATAATAAGAAATTAAAGTGCACATAAATGTAACAAAATGGTAATAATATAAAAATAGAAATATAAAAGCCCACGAACATGCGGTAATTGCCTAACTAAAACATATGTAAAGCCATCGAGGCAGCCCATGCTTTGAAAATTGAAACGCAAAACACAAAACACTTAAGAGCTAATATGGCTATGTGTGTCTAAAAGAATAGGAAACAAAAGTGTTGTAAGAAGCCACAATCACTGTCACAAGTGGTAACAACAACTAACACGCAAAATCAACAGCCATGCCACGGTAATGTTCGTACCTTCGGAGCCGTTGGGAGGTCGCTTACTTTTGGTAGATACAAGAAAAAGAGATAGTTTTTCATTCGGTTTTAATGGCATCAGTGTTACAGAATATCGCGACGGCCGAGCCTCCATCGCTCTATCGATAGATCATTATAAAAATGTAAAATTCATCAAAACAGAGTACAGCGATTTGCCTTTGGACACCTTAGAAATGCCCTTACAGAATAAACATTACAATAATGGTTTCTAGGTAGCGATAGAACTAGTATGTTCACCCAAATGTTACCTAGGTATATGCCCATAGAAAATTTGTAACAAAGATATGTCATTCTGAGATGTACATATATAGATGTTGCGATTTTAATGAAATCATAACATTACAAACTGATCATTTGAAATGTATGTCTTCGTACATAGATATTAAGCAAAAAGCCTGGCTTTGTCAACTTGGTAAGTCATACAAATACCAAATTGTATACACACCTAAATTAAGATGACATATAATTATTTTATAGGTTCTATACAAATAGACATTTCACACCAAATCGATTTAGAAATTATTTATAATTTTTCAATATCTCAAACTTCATGTTTTATATCTGATATCAGATAATTTTCACATCCCAGAAAAATATGTAGTTATACTACCATCCATTTTATGATGAAATCAATTTAATAATATATATCCAAAATACAACATAATATGCAATCGTCATGTATCATATTTAAAAAATGAAGTAGGTATATATGAATAATAAATTCCCTAGCATATGATTTCATTTTGTAAGCTCTTAATCTAATTCTCAATTTTTCAAATGAAACATTTGCACAAATTGATACCTTCAAAATATAAAAATAGTGTGGAGATGATTATTGATCTTGTCATTTCTGAAGCATTTCCTAAGATTTTCCAAATAATGAGACTCGCAGTAGGAGCATATTCAGAAAACTTAAGTAATCTACTCTAAAATTATCCTTTCACAAGCAAATCCACATTACAAGCATAGTTATACGATTACAATGGCCGTAGTATTATCTATGGGCACCTCGTATTATCTGTTGTTTTAAACGCTGTGCTTTTTAGCCCTCCTTAAACGCTATGCATATAGATCATAGTTCAGAGAGCTTCGTCCTCCACAGACCCTGAGGCCCCGAGCACACATATTCACATTAGCACTAAGTGATTTATTGTAATAGTTAAATTTTGTACTATCAACAACTTAAGTAGCAATATATCGTATCGATTTTATTTGTATCCGTTTATTAAAAAAAACGCTAGAAGAATAAAAAATAAAAAAGACAACATTTTTTTATAAAATAAAGAATCCAAAATAAATATTAATTAGAAGCCCTTAAAGTTTAAAAACAAACAAACAACATTAATTCTTAACAATGTAAGATGATAAGCAAAAATAGATTTTATCTAAATAAAAAAAAGTTAACAATAAACTTATTGTTAGTAACACCATCACCCCTGACACCAAAATATGTCTACCCTACAGGTACAAATAGAAACAATTACAAAACAATGACACCACGGACAAACAAAACTACCAAATATATATTATTTAGATTTTCCTAGTAAGTTTTTTTCTCAAATAACCTCAATAATAACATAAAAATTAACAATTAAATTGTTTATAATAACCTTCTAATAAGCATGTCCCAAATACACAGTATTTCTAGAAGTTTGTCAGGAAGAACATCATAACCGACAATGAACAATATTTAGAGGAGAAGGTTTTATTGTTTATTTCTATTAAGTTTACCGACAATAAGTAAATAAATAATACAATAATCAATCTGTATTGAGGTAAAAACATTTCATAAAGATCTTAAAGATGTCCTAAAAAGTTATACATATAAAACTCACATATAAAAAATGGTAATTATCGGTTAAGATGGTCTGCCTGAAAAGGCTCGATTTATTCTATAAATAAATAATACACAATGTTCAGTAAATAAATAATACACAATTAGATATGTATGGTAACTGATACACAAGAAATGACAACTTACTGTTCTGTGCGAAGGGCGACACAGGCTTCTTTCGCTTAGCTTTTACAATATCTAGAAAACACTCAAACGTTAGACACAAAGAGACAAAATGCAATAATAGTCATCAGTAATTTCAAACATAAGAAATTAATTAAAGACTCAGAATATGCTGTGGACAGCAGAAACAAGACTTAAATGTATATTGACATAGTAAGATTCTATAAAATCTTTTTTACATTATGTTATTCAGTTTATAGATAACATTTCCATTTAAAAATTTCAAATCTTTGATGAATCTTTAACGCCAGTGCTTTAATTTGTTCAAATGTTAAGTTTCGATGAAGATTTTGATTATTTTTGTTGGTTGATCTGACTAGACAAGAAGGTGACTGAACTATTCCTTTTTGTATAACTGACTAGATTACAATGACTACATACAATTTTTTTTTTCGAGAGAATTGTCTCCTTACATTTGTATAATAACTACAAATAGGTAATTCTCGCGAAATTGACGGTTTCAGTGCTATTGCCATTTGGCATAATGTTTAATACTTAGTTTTTTATTCAGTATCCATTATAAAAGTGGTTACAAAAATTTGGCATCGATTGGACTAGATATACACATGTTAATGTTTTTTGGGATGTTTTGAGTAATGTGGTTTTTGATATGACGATAACAGATTTTTCTCTCCTAATGTGTAAATGATTTGTGCGTATGTAGTATTTGTTTTTTTGTTTCGAAATTGTGAAATACTTTTTATGTTTACAACAATGAGTGTGATTTTACTGTGCGATGTTGACAGCGAGTGTTAGTGTTTGTGACGTTCGTTCATTGGACGTTCGAGGTGAGGCAGGAAACTTTGGAGGGACTGGACGTGAGGGTCGGCAGCGGCACCGTTCCGCGGCGGTCAGTTGTTGAACTTGGCGGGGTCCACGGGCGAGTAGTAACAGCTGGTGTCGTCGAACTCGGAGGCGGTGGCGTGGGGCGCCACCGCCATGTAGAGCGCGTAGTGCTCCGCCTCGGTGAGGTCCAGCTCGTCCCTCAGCCGGCGGAAGGCGGACGCGTCCAGGGCCAGCACGCTCTCCGCCACCAGGATGGTGTCGTGTGGCGGCACGGAGCCCCCGCGCGGCTCCTCGGGGTCGCCGTGCAGCGAGATGTGCGTCACGCTGTCGGCGTAGCTCAGGCCCGCGGCCGACGTGTTGTCCTTGAGCGAGGCGTGCGACACGGACGCCTTGAAGCGCGCCGGCCGCTGGCCCGACACGCTGCTCACGGAGCGGCCCACGGGGCGCGCCTTGGCCGACACGCTCGGCGCGGGCGACTTCTCCTTGCGCCGGAACAGCCGCGAGAGGAAGGAGCGCTTCTTGGGCGCGGGCGGCAGCGCCGGCTCGCTGCGCGCCATCGTCAGCTCGGCCCTGGCGCGGTCCCTGGTCAGCGGCAGCTGCTTGCCGGGCCGCAGCACGCTGTCCACGGAGCTCTGGCTGCTCCCGAACGGCTCGGTGGCCTTGCGCACGCGCTTGGGCGGCAGCGGCGGCGCGCGCTCCTCCTCGGCGGGGTCCCGCTTCAGCGGCGTGAACTCTATCACGGGCCCTCGGTAGGTCTGCACCTGCACGTCCTCGTAGGGCTCGGGCTCCGGCTCCGGCTCCACGATCCGTATGGGGTTCTTGAAGGCGAGCTGCAGGCTGGTGTAGGTGCCGGCGTCGTTGAACTCCTCCGCGTCGGTGTCCGCCTCGTCGGGGCCGGCGGCGCTCTCGAGGCGGGTCCTGCTCTCCGAGTAGATCTCGTCGAGCTCGGCCACCTGGTCGAGCAGGTCGTCGAGGCTCCTCTCGCCGTGGTCGTCGCCGTCATCGAGCGGGTGCAGCCCTTTGGGGGGCGCGTCCTCGTCGAGGTTGCCGTTCAGCTCGGGGACGGGGTCGGGGTCGGGGAGGGGGGGGGGGAGGGGGTCGAGGTCGTCGCTGGTGGAGGTGACGAGGTCGACGTGCGCGTGTGCGTGTTCGTGAGCGTTGGTGGTGTTGTTGTTGTTGTTGTTGGTGTCGGTGTCGGTGTGCGTGGTGAGCGGCAGGGGCGCGAAGGGCCTCAGCGGCTTGCGGGCGGCGGGGGGCGCCCTACCTGGCGGCACGGTGTACTCGAAGTCGAGCGCGTTGCTGCGCGCGTTGTCCGTGGTGCGCTTCAACTGCAGGAACACCTGCGGCCGGACGGGGCACGACGGAGCTTTAGTTTAGGCTTGTGTGAGGTTCATTATTAACAAATGGATAGCGTATCGTGATAAGTATCTTAAATATTATGTAACGATTTTTATTTTTAGTGCACGTGTAAGCGCACTTAAGATGGACGTGATTGATAATTTTTGAGAGACTAACGCGAAAAAAAAACATACTTTTAAAGAGAAAATGACATTTCTCTAGTTTTTTAAAATGAGAGTGAAGTAATTGTGTTTGCTGTAGCGGAAGCGCAATGAATGATGAGTGTGCCACATATTGCTACAAAGGCAAATATAAATAAAATAGATAAGACATCTAGATTTTAAAGCAGTTAGGATAACGATCGTTTTAGCTTAGAGGCTAGAGTGGCTAGGCGCGTTACCCGAAAAGCACATTCGATACCCAGCAGTAGTAGTAAATTTTATCTACACATATCAGATAACATTGGATTATACTCAATTATATGGCAGTAATGAGATTGTCCTTAGAACAGCTTAGCTTCATATATTTGGTGAATGACGCAGAAGACGGAAGAAGCACGCGACGTGTATGGGCGTGAATTATAAAGCGAAAAGCTTTATGTCCAAATTAATTTTATTCCGAGATTTAAAGTAAGAACCGTCTAAGTGCGAGTCAGACTCGCGCACGAAAGGTTCCGTATTACATTACCTAGACAAAAATGTCTGTTGTATGGGAGCCCCAGTTGAACATTTTTTTTAATTTTGTTTTTGGTGTTGGTTCATGAGATACAGCCTGGTAACAGACGGACAGACAGACAGCAGAGTAATAGCGTCCCGTTTCACCATTTGGGTACGGACCCGTAAAAACTTCCGTTCCCTCGAAGGGCTTTTTCGAGTACCACCTGCTACATCTGCATCTAATAACAAGACCGGTCCGCCGTTCATTTTTAACTAACGCGGGGACGACAACGGCCGTCGATAAATATGGCGGGGCGGAGACGCGCGCGGCTGGCGTTTCGCCAACACGCGACCGGTTTCTGAATCGACGCGCGGGAAACTCGGGTTACGATTTACGCAAATAAATCGTTCGCTACGTAGCTATTTCACCCGACGTCGAGTTTTCGTCGTAAATTGCGCCGGGCGCGCTTTAATTCGGTTAAAGAGATTAAACGGCAGCGATGTCTGTACGGTCTTAAGATTGGACGAGCGGAGAAAATGTCGAAAAATTAACGTTCGAAATTTTCGACGTTTGCCATTTTCTACCGACTTCAATAAAGGAGGTTCTCAATTCGACTGTATATTTATTTTATGTTTGTTACCTCAGAACTTTCGAGTTAGTAAACCGATTTTGATGATTCTTTTTTTGTTTGAAAGTTAGTGCTTCCCATGTGGTCCCGTATTAATTTCATTGATATTGGATCTTGGGCTCCGGAGATAATTAGGAACTCGCGAAAATCAGTTATGAAATGAATACAGAGCGAGATATTTGATGTCGGTTTTGTTTTTCGTTAAAAAAATATGGACTTGTTTACTGTTAAGTTGTTCTTTTTTAAGCGCTATCTTGAATTGCATGTGCCAATTATTGCCCCAGAGAACGGAGATTATCGTTTCTATCGTGTAGTTTTATGGTTATCTATAATGATGTCTGTCTGATGACAAGTTTCTCTCTATCTCTTTCTGGTCGGCCACAGCACGTCTTAAAGAGACTACTCATTTCAGTGCATGTTTCTAGTTGAATGGATTCGGTATTATACATTATGTGTATTTGACATGTATCGTCGCGTGCAAAAACTATGCCACGCAACGGTAGGACGTTGATCGCAACTGTACACAGACGCGAAGTGGGAGCGAGATAGTGAACGATTTAGACTGCGACGCATACGAGAGCGACATCTCACGAAGCCCTCGTGGGGCCACATAACGTAATGATTCGAACTTCGGATGTGTGTGTGTGTATGTTTCGGACGAATGTGTGCGTGCGTACCTTGGCGGCGACGTCGGGGCCGCGTGTGTGTGCGTGTGTGCGTGTGCGTGTGCGTGCGTACCTTGACGTTGGCGGCGACGTCCGGGTCGCGGTAGGGCGGCGTGTCGAAGGCGATGGCCGCCTGCTTGTGCACGTGCACGTTGGTGGCGGCCGCCTCCCACACCACCTGCTCGTTCTCCTTCTCGAAGAACACCACGGCCGTGTCGTCGCGCGACACCTTCTCGCAGAGCAGGATCATGGTCATGCGGCCGCGCACGGGCCCCGAGCAGTGCGAGATGCGCGCGATGTGCAGCTCGCTCATCGCCTTCTTGTCGTAGATCACGTCGGAGACGAGCGGCGCCAGCGCCAGCCGCACCTTGCCGTGCTCGCCCGTCACGAACACTTGGAAGCAGAGCCGCAACGCGTTCAGGTCGATGCTCTGCGGCTGCGCGCGGTGCCCGAACCCCGCTGTTCATGAACGGATATATAATATATACATTAAATCTCACCGAATTCATTACCATTTCACATTTGCCTATAATTTAGAGACATTCTTCTTTTCACAAACAAAAAAGTACTGGGACTCGGGGTAAAGTTATTTATAGTTATTTTTCGCTAAAAAAAACTCCTTACGTGAGTATATTAGTACACCGTTTCAATTTTTTTTTTCATTAGTTTATTGGTAATATTTTCACCTCCATTTTTTTAACAACGTTTAAAAAGCATTAAAATCTACGAACAGTAGTGGTAATATGCGATCGGCGTCGAGTCTAAACCAGTTTTAAGCTCTTATAAAATGAAAACAGCTATGGTTATATTATGTTTGCGCAGGAATTGACCGTGACCATGGACGCTGCGACATTCCGAGGATAGGAAAATGTAGTAGTGCTTTTATAACCGTGATAAAATTTTTTTGACACATTTGTACACAACATTTTCTAGTCCCAAACTAAGCAAAGCTTGTACTATGGGTACTAGAAACATGATAAACATACTTAGGCACACTTTTCTTTTGTAAATAAATACATATTATACATATATAAACACCCAGACACTAGAAAAACACTGTGTTCTTCACACAATATTTTTGCAGTAATGGGGATCGAACCCACACCCTCTGGCGCAAGAGGCAGGCTCACTACCCACTACGCCATTCGGGTCGTCAAAGATGACTCCGTGGAGCGGTTGCCAAGCTATTGGCTTCGGCACCGGGGGTCTTAAGTTCAATTCCCACACGATCCAACTATTGTGTGACCCACAAATAATCGTTTCGCATCTGGGTGTTTGTCCACGTGAAATCCTTAATTCCTTACTAATATTATAAACGCGAAAGTTTGCATGTATGGATGGATGTTTGTTACTCTTTCACGCAAATACTACTGAAGAGATTTTAATGAAACTTTACAACAATATAGCTTATACATCAGAGTAACACATAGGCTATAATTTATAAAGATATTGTGTGAGTTATCCAAAATATAGGTAATGATAAGTGTCAACTAAGTAGGAAATAATTCAGCCATCTGCGAGATATTCTGGTGTAAAATAAAAAACTACGATACGAACGATATTTATGTACCGTGACACAGAAGCTATTAATACAGAGGCTCGATTGTTAGGAAATACGTCACAAAGCTAGCATCGGTTTTCCTGTCAATACATAAATCTTTTAATAAATCTCCGTGCACTGCGCGACATATTTATATACAGCGTGTCGTTACCACCGCGACAATAAATGATCACACATTTAGGGGATAACTTTTTAAAATTATATTAAACATTTACATTCTTTAAACATCAATATTAACCCAGTTATTAAATTTTCAAAACAAACAATTTTAGAACACCCTTACGTATAAAACTATAACGTAAAGTTCATTTGTAAAGGTCACAAAGCATATGAATGGGTTGAATGAATTTAAAAGAGACAAAACATTCTGTTAGAAGGAGAGGCTTGTAATCCGACGCTGCGGCGCGAGTTGTATAGGATGATACAAACTTTGTTTCCTTTTTACTTAATTAGTTTGTTTGAAAAATATTTTTTTTAATTATGGATTTTGTTTAACGTTAATATTTTTTTTATGATTATTGGCAAGTAGCGTTAGACGTGTTTTCATTTATTGTCGCGATGGTAACGACACGCTGTATACATGTCGCCCCAGTATCAGTGACGCGAAAGCAGTCTCTACGTCTGATGTAACAAAGTTAGACGTCACTTTGGCGAGTAATTTAACATCCATCTCTCTCGCACCTATGGGCTGGTCAATCCGGGGAGGTACCACGATATCACAGAACCGGCGTGAAGTGGAAACGTTATACTTCTGCGTTTCGTCCGGTGAGTGAGGTAGCCGGGGCCCACTTTATTAAGAGGTGGCAACGCATCTGCAACCCTACGTGTTGCAAATGACCATGGGCGGCGCTTATCTGTTAACATCGGGTGAACGACCAGCTCGCTTGCTACCTTCTCACATAAAAAATCACCCCTATCAACCTTAACCCTTGCAACACCAGTCCCGCCAGTTTAATTGCCCCTTTATCGCAATTATATTGCGGAGAAATAAACTGCAAGTAGGTAGTCGAGACTTAATGTGACACATTATTGCAATTATCACAAAGATACAATAGTCCTTTAATGGTTTTTGATAGGACAGTAGACGTTTGATACTTTGTTGAAGTTATCGTTAAAGCACTTACATGTTTAAATCACTATCTTGTATAATAAATAAATGTTTATCTATATTACCCATTTAACTAGATATGTAAATTTAAAAAAATATATCAAATCTTGTTTAAGATCCACTGTGGCGGAAGCGTTCACAAAACATCAGAAGTAAAAGTAATGTAACAGACTATACATATCCCACAGCTGGGCAAAGGCCTCCTCTTTACAGAGGGTATCAGGGCATAGTCCACCACGCGGCCCCACTGCAGATTGGCGTACTTCACATATCTTCGAAATATTTCGAAAATATGCAGGTTTCTTCACTGTGTTTTCCTTCGCCGCGGAGCACATAAGTCGGCACTTAAAATTAATAATTTCATTATTGCCGGCACCGGGAATCTAACTCAAGTTGCTCGAGTATATTGAATTAAAGGCGAGCACGGACCCTGAGCTATCACGGCTCTGCGGACAAAACATGAAAATCGTAAAAAAAAATGAAACCACAAAGAGTTAAAGCGTGGCACTGACTTTTAAAGGGGTCGACCCGGAGCTCCTCGCGGGTGCGTAGCGCGGCGTCTATGTCCTTCCGCTTGACGCACTGTATGCCCAGGTTGCTGAAGGCGACGAGCGTGCCACCGCTGCCACCGCTGCCACCGTTGCCACCGCTGCCACCGTTGCCGAGATCGGCGCGAACCGTGCACACGCCTCGGTCGCAGCGCTCCCGCCCCACCAGGTTGTGCGGGTGCGGCCTACACACGAGCGCCCTCGGCGTCATATCCCAACTCAAACCATTATACCGCTTCCCCGAACAATTACTACTTCAAATAACACCGTTAGCGTAAGGCCGTCGTTACATTTTATGACAATATAGCGCAGTTCACGCTGAAGAATGTATTTTATACATGTCATCTACAAAACTATTTCGAAAGATTAACTTCACAGTTTGCGTCTTTTAAAATTTTAATACAAGCAAGAATAAACATGGTCCGAGTGCAAGCCCTGCGGTACGCTACAGCACTCGGTGCTTATTTTGTCACAAAAATATACACGAAAGCGTATAGTCTTAAAGTAAACTATAAAAGTCCTATAGACTGACTTGTAGGGGTGCTCCTTGGTGACGCAGGAGACCACGACGATAGCGCTGCCGGTGCAGCCTCTGATCTCTATGGTGGGGTAGGTCTTCCTCTCGCTCGTGCTGTTGACGCCGGGTATCGAACCCGCGGACCGGCCCTCGCATTCATATCGAAACCTGAAACAACAGCCAATTGCAATTGTGATCTGGCCTCTGTACACGTAAACTATGGTTTCGTTAAGATTTTCTAAAATGTTACCTACTTCTAGATATAATACAACTCTTGCATCTAAAATAAAATTATACATGATGTTTCCTAAACAAAAATACCACAATTATTTTAGCCTTTTATGTCAATAACAATCCCTCGGAAATTGTATTTTTAATAACCAATTTGATACTCTAAAAGGGTTAGCATAAAAGCTTGCCTGGTTACTTAATAACAAGGATAACGATAGATGAATCGATGGGCGCATCCACTTAGAATAAGTATCTATTTTTCTTATAATTTATCGATGAAAAAATTCAGTTTACTTTTTAAGAAATACTTTGTTCAATGCACTGGGGAAGTCTTTGAAAATTTCCACACCACAAATAAGATTGGTTCAAGGGTGTCAACATCTATGAGTCATACTTATTGTTCGTTACCACCATGTTTTGAGTATATGTTATGGTCAGTAACTGGCCTAACTTATGATCGATTCGGAATGCATCAATCCATTGTTTTCCTTTTGTCGAAATTAAAATTTCTAAAAATTAAAGTTATTAAAATATGTAGAAAAAGTGCGAAAAGATTGTCGCCGTTGTGGGAATCGAACCCACGTCTTCGGCATTCGCGGCCTGACGCTCTAGCCACTGAGCTAAACGGCTGATTGCCACATCGACGAAAATCTTAACGCATTCTTCTACATGTTTTCTTAGCATTTGAAGCAATGCTTGGCGCCATCTATTGTTTATATCCTTTCCAGCATACAAACAATTTCGAATATCGTTTTACAACGATAATTCGAACGAGAGATGTCGCCATTGCTTTTTTAGATATTTAAATTGTTTATAGTGCTAATCTTTGCACTTAAGATTGAACATTAAAATATGTAGAAAAAGTGCGAAAAGATTGTCGCCGTTGTGGGAATCGAACCCACGTCTTCGATCCCACGAAGACGTGGGTGGGTTTAATGTTCAATCTTAAGTGCAAAGATTAGCACTATAAACAATTTAAATTTATTAAAGTTATTTTTTAAAACCACGCTGTTCAACAAAAAGATCAGAACGTATGTATCATAAATTGCGCCATGTATCATAATTCTGAGGTATCAACGTCTTCCGTTAGGACCCCATTACGAGTTCCGATATTAACTTCATTTCGTTCATGTAATGTTATGATTAATAATTCTTAAACAAATCATTTTCTGGGAATTTCTACAGTAAACTGCTAAGTTTACTGTAAAAATTCCCCTAGTAGGGAAACATCTTTGACACCCACGCAGTTGGGTACACGATTTGATTAAAAAAAATATGTTGTTCTTGTCGCATCTTGCAGCAAAATTTTAAATTTAACATGATGTCCCTTCAGATCGAAGATGAGAAGAAAATATATGCAACGAGTATAACAAATACAACAGAGGTGTGCATTACACAACAAATCGTTTAAACGAGATCTGATCTCGTGATTTAGCGGGTCAATACACCAGTCGACTGAGCTAAATACCGCGCCTAACGCTGCCGCCTATATTTAGAGATTCGGGTCGCAGCGAGTGAAAAGTTTTCAATCGACTAATAGAATGAGGCATATTTCTAAAAAGGGGTTCCCATATTAAGAATTTTTGCGCTATCTTGGCGACTTTGACAGCTTCGCCGGAAGAGGTTCAGGAGAACAAGGTAACTGGTGCACGCAAGGACACATAGTAACAGCCTATATTTTGTCCCACTGCTGGGCAAAGGCCTCCTCTGTACAGATGGTATTAGGGCATTATAGTCCACCACGCGACCCCAGTGTGGATTGGCGGAATTCACATATCTTCGAAATATAAATATTTCTTTGTTATTATTTCCAAAAGATGCGGGTTTCCATACGATGTTTTTCTTCACCGCTGAGCACGTGATAAGTCAGCGCTTTAAATTAACAATTTCACTGGTGCCGGCGCCGGGGATCGAACTCGTATATAGATTTAAACGCGAGCGCCCAGACACTGAGCTATCACGACACACAAGGTCCCATGAATAACAATAATAATACGACGTAAGCGATTCAAGTGTCATAGGGCATTGCGCGTAGATTGCGAATGGGGGCCCTCGCACTCAAAATCGAGTGCGCTGAACCATGTGTTCGTGTGTTTATGAATATTATGTACATAGCGGCGAAATAGGCGCGGTGAAACATCGGCGGACTTTAGCACGTGTGAAATGTGAAAAGTTGCCAAGCGGTTCACCCGCCGATAAATGAATACCGCCGCCCATAGACATCTGCTACACCTGGGGGTTGCAGATGAGTTGACAACCTTTTGAAAATTGGGCTCCGGCTACCTCACTCACCAGATGAAACAAGAAAGTATTATACTTCCACTTTACGCCAACAACATTTACGCAAAGCAAACATTTTAACTTAGCCTTAGGCTTCGTGGTTATTTTTTTATGAGCACCCAGAAATAGGAGCAGAATTGATATTTTGCGGAATTATATGACCGATATTTCCATAGTGAAAATTACAATATAAGTTTTTTTTTCGAAAACTACTATAAGTGACCGGAGAATTCTGCTTGTTGCTTAATTCAATGCTGTTTTTGTCTATCGTTAAAAATTTATTTTAATTGTATTACGCAAACGTCAATGTCCTTTACATTTACCAATAATATGATAACAATTACTATAGCATACATCACAGGTTAATTCGACGATGTCCTTTTAAATTCTTACCGGTAAAATGCTTTCACTAGATGACATTGGTACGGATTCATTGACGCAATCGACGTTTACAAGTCAAAAGAGTCACTTGTTTCGTATTGTCTGCGCCATTTTAAAAAGAGATAAGACATCTAAATAACCATTTTTTTACTAGAGAAAAACAAAACCGACATCAAATATCTCGCTCTGTATTCATTTCATAACTGATTTTCGCGAGTTCCTAAGTATCTCCGGAGCCCAAGATCCAATACCAATGAAATTAATACGGGACCACATGGGAAGCACTAACTTTCAAACAAAAAAAGAATCATCAAAATCTGTTCTCTAACTCGAAAGTTCTGAGGTAACAAACATAAAATAAATATACAGTCGAATTGAGAACCTCCTCCTTTTGAAGTCGGTTAAAAATAGGCTATGATGATGTCGAAGATACTGAATGTGGGGCGAAAACTTTTGTGGAACGGTACTTACTATCACGATAATGGTATTACGATCAAATAAACTCTTATGCCCAGTTTCTGAAAAGCCAATCAAAGCAGCAATCACATAACTCTATGTCAAAAATGATCAGCTGTCAATCTCTTGTTAAATTGCCTTGGGTTCCTGGAAGGTTTGTTCAAGAAAAATTAACTAATCACTGTATAAAAGTAAGTAAAGTAAAGTAACAGCCTATACATGTCCCACTGCTGGGCAAAGGCCTCCTCTATATAGAGGGTATCAGGGCATAGTCCACCACGTGGCCCCACTGCGGATTGGCGGACTTCACATATCTTGAAATTTTTTTTTGTTATTATTTCGAAAATATGCAGGTTTCCTCACGATGTTTTCCTTCACCGCGGAGCACGTGATAAGTCAGCACTTAAAGTTAAAAACTTCATTGGTGCCGGCACCGGGGATCGAACTCAGGTTGCTCGAGTATATTGAATTAAAGGAGGCGCCCGGACTCTGAGCTATCACGGCTCTGTATAACCAATATATAAGAACTGTATAACCAATGATAATGAATGAAATGAATGATTTACTTCAACTAATTCTTTCTTAACTGTCCCTTTTTAAACAAAACTTAAATTAACGTCACTATCCAGTCCTGTCACCGTGTGATTGCCAACGTAAAAATCCGAGCTATAATAAAATTTATTTTATATAAATACATGCAAAATGTCAAGAAAAAACTTTAAAGAATGTGAAAAAAATGAACTTTTATCCATAATAAACAAGTAAGTATTATAAAAAGAAAGAATCCATATTATTTATTAAGTTTTGAATTGCATTTTCTATTTTTTCTAATCGCATAATAATAAATAATAAATAGGTAAAAGAACACATGAATGTCCTTACAACGTATTAGGGAATTATGTTTATTTTTCATAAAAACTAAGATTTGTGATAAAATACATTTTTAACCTACGATTGATCGTCCAAATTGACATAAAACTTTTGACAGCTCGTTGACCACCGAAAAACGCTTTCAGAAGCTCGATTTTTTGTTGATTGTCCGTTAATCAGTGACTAATTGCAAATCAAAATCAATGTTGTTTTCAGACATTCTAGAAACTCAGATCCGGTTAAACAACGATTGACAACAGATTTATCGTAAATTAAAATTGATTGCGCTTTCGGAAACTGGGTGTTATTCTCTCGACGAAACGGTGTCATAATAAGCATAATGCAGAGCATGCCTATTAACATTAACACTTCTGTCAGGTCCCCATTAGGTGATACCCATCATGGGGATAAGGGTACAATATAAAATAAAAAAAAGTAAAAAGTAAAGTATCAGCCTGTATATGTCCCACTGCTGGGCAAAGGCCTCCTCTATATCATGAAATCCATACTAATATTATAAATTCGAAAGTAACTGTCTGTCTGTTTCGCTTTCACGGCAAAACTACTGAACCAATTTAAAAGAAATTTGGCACACAGATATTCTAGGGCCTGAGAAACGCCGCTGGTAATTTATATTAAGCTAGTGATTTAATCTAAAAGCTAGTAATTTAATCTAAAAGCTAGTAATTTATATTTAGAGAGCAAGTTGTCTATCAATTCAGAGCCCGAATTATAATTCTTTTAATGTGAGAAGGTGGCAAACGAATCGGGGAATCGCCGGATGTTAAGTGATAACCGCCGCCCATTGACATTTGCAACACTCGTAGGGTTGCACTGCATGTGCTACCTCACTGGTGTCGTGCTGTGTGGTAAGTGCCTGTGGTACTTACACGGACGGACCTGCCCATTCGTGCAACAAAGAAGACCGTTGCCTGGCCCTACCACATCGGTGAAAGCAAATTCTCGATTGAAACGCGAAAGTTTAATACATCCACTTCATTCTCGTCTTCTGTGTGGCTGTGGTACTTATCCGGACGCGCCTGCCCATTCCTGCAACATCAGAAGCTGTTACATCTCCACACAGCTTCTGATGTTGCACGAATCGGCAGGCGCGTTATTTCTATCTATGCGCTATTCCATTCTCCATTATATACGGTTAACTCGATTATGAAATGCTGTTACAATGTAAACGTTTCGTTACGCTTTGTTTAGATTACGGGATAATGTATGCGAAACCAGTTATAGAAATAGCACTGTTTTTTTAAATTATATTCATAATAGCTGGCTAAGCAAACTTGGTTCGTCCTTTCCGTTAGGAGGCGCTGTACTGTATCAAATATCAATAGTTACCAGCATTTCTAGCCCCGATGATGGTATTTTACAACACTCCAGAGAAATTGAGTATTTTGTGGATAAGTGAAGAATGCATAAGATATAATTATATATTTGTTACTTATAAAAATATATACATAATATAAAAAAATTAATGTTTCTTCGATATTTCTATCCATGCAATGCCATGGCTGTATATATTAAAGTAGAAATTTTAATGACTAACTGGGAGTTATATCGCACCGTTTATACTGCAGTTTTTTAATGGAGCATTTATTAAAATCCCACTCTAAGGGTTGAGAAATAGTGTCTGGAATTGTATGACTCGCGCACCAAGGGTAGTAAAAAGCGTACCATTATTTATAAAAACGACAAAAAAATCATGTCTGTTGTATGGGAGCCCCACTTAAATACTTTTTTATTCATTTGTTTAATTTTTGTTGTTCTAGCGGCAAGAGAAATACAGAATCTGTGAAAATTTCAACTGTCTCACTATCACGGTTCGTGAGATACAGCCTGTTAACAGACGGACGGAAAGACCGGCACACAGACAGACAGACAGCGGAGTCTTAGTAACTGGGAACCCTAAAAACCATCGCTTATTTAAAGATAATGTTCATAATAATCCACATTTTATCGTTTCATACGGAGTTATGAAATGTTCTGGGTTTACTTTCAAAATTCTATCACTAGAAGGTACGTAGGTGTGTTACGCAGTTCCAAGCTAAATAGTAGCTTACATTACAAATGTCCGGTTTTACGCGAATATGGAAAATATATTTAAATTTTAGATATCAAGTGTCAGTAACAGACACTGATCTTCACTGGCTTGGCCTTTCAGTGTCTCTTTTCGTTTATATCTGTTTGCAAACATATTTTTTTAATTAAACTAACTGACGGATATCATAGCGGTGTATGTTTATTTTAAAGATTACGAGTAATGACAATTTAAATACGATCTTTATATATTGGAATTTTGCGCTCGTAATTTTGGCGATTTGTGGCAAAAACCGAATCACAGACATAAATAATAATTGTATGTTGTGTATGTTAAATTAAACCTAACCGTTCTACTGGTCGTAATTCAAATAATAATATAATCCATACTAAATCCTGATAGGGAATTGTAGAAACACTGATAACATTCACAAATTTACAAACACAAACAAATATATATATATATATATATATATATATGTTCGCTAATTACCATTTTACATCAGATGAACCGTCGGCTATTCTGTTAACTTCTATCATAGAGAGCTAACGATATGCATAGACTGGCTAGCAGCGGCGTGTAAGAGACCGTAGTCATTAAAAGTTACTACCACCCACCGTTATAGTGTATAGTTAAGCCCACCGATATTGGTACTGGATAGAAATCCCACGTGAGTTAACATGTCTTCCCTCTAAAAAGCGATGCATCGTTTTTAAGGTTCTCCTACTCACATTAAGCCGTTAAAAGGCATGAAAGATCTACCGCTACGCGTTTTTTTTTTTACTATTTATCGTTGCAGGGATATAAACAAAGGCAATTAAACAACAATAGCATAATCATCATTGTTATCATAATACCCGTTCATCTCTAATTTGTATGTTGTTTTTCATATTTGTATGATTTTGAATCAAACGGCAAAGGTGTTATAATATACGATACAATTAATTACAAAAAAATATACGGAGAGAATAAAAATACAATGCACGGTGACAGATAGTAATTTTTAACGTCAGTTTTAAAGTTTACAAGTATTTTAAAACGACTGATTTGCGGGGAATGCTCGTTCCATAGGATTCAATTATATACATATTTCGAATTGGAATCAAATGTTAAGGACTTTATTTGTATGTGTCCCCGTGTGGGTGGTGTTTGTGCGTGTGTGTCCGTGGGTGTGCGTGTGTGTCCGTGGGTGTGCGTGTGTGTCCGTGGGTGTGTGTGGATGTGGGCTGTGGAAGTGGTTGTGTGAGTTACCTGAGCGCTTTGCTGGCGGGCTGCTCGACTATGCGCACCGAGGGCGCGGGCGAGGCGGCGGGCGGCATGGCGGGCAGCGCGGCAGGAGCGGGGGCGGGAGCGGATACGGCAGCGGGGGCGGGCGCGGAGGCGTTCGCGGGCCGCGGCATCTCGCTCACGGAGCGGGCATCGAACTCCGGGTCCGCGATGCAGATCGCGTCCACTGCGCACAGGTTGACGAGCAATGAATTTTTTCTTTTTTTTTTATGTGAAAAAGTGGCAAACGAGCTGGCGGCTCACTTTATGTTAAATAATAACCGCCGCCCATGGACATTTGCAACACCCGTACGGTTGCGAATGCGTTGCCACCTTTAAAATAAAGTGGGCCCCGGCTACCCCCACTCGCCAGAGGAAACGCACAAGTGTAACACTTCTACTTTACGCCGGTCTTCTGTGAGGTCGTGGTACTTACCCGGACGGACCTGCCCATTCGTGCAACAGTGAAAACTGTTGCGTGGCCCTACCACAGTTGGACAGTATCTGACGCATTTTGAGTTTACTATAAATCCGTTAGTACTGGACAAGCAAGCGAGAGCTTGCTTATCTACGACATTAGTTATTATACCAAGAAGGACTCCGTGCTAAGGCATTGGCTTTGGCGTCGGGGGTCGTGGGTTCGATTCCCACACAGGACAACTATTTGGGTGACCCACAGATAGTTGTTTCGCATCTGGGTGTTTGTCTGCGTCAAATTTATGTTTGTAAAACGTCCTTAAAACACAGGATAATATTATCCTAAAGTAAGGGCAATGTTTTTAAAAAAAAAAAAGAAATTAAAAAAAAAATAATAAAAATAAGAAAATACGAAGAACTTTTGCCATTGAATATTGATAAAAAGCGCGGTCATCACGTCCACACATGACAGACAGTTAATATAATTGTGCTTCCCCATTACGCTATATGCACCAGTTACTTACTATTTAAATAACATACGTCATTACAACCATATTTACGTAGGTAAGTATTAAAAATATATTTTTATTTTAGTTTTCATCTTTTGTTTTAATTTTTGTAGAAGATAGTGTATCTTCTTAACTTAAATACTGTCCATGACATGAGCATTATTGGATAATAAAAGAGAACAATAATTACTAAATGAAATTAGTATATGTCAAATCAACCTTAACATATAACTATACGTATGTATGTAATATGCATATTTTCCTCTACATTTAAATGGTCTCAACAGATAGCGCGAAAAATATAATTTTTTAAGAGTTAGCAGCATATTGTTAGGGGTTGTATGATATATCTAGTTACCTTATGTAATCTAATATTTTATACAACTTTAATTAAATAATACTTTCATACAACTATAGTACCATTTATAGTATCATTTTGTATGTTATTACATCATTTATATGTTGAGTAACTAAAATTTATAATTGACTAAGTCAGATTTTCCATACTGTTATTCCTATAGAATAGGTACAGTACTGTTCTTAATTGAACGGAAGTCGCGACGAGATGAGCAAAATTTACTAATGATGAAACCAATAAGGCGGCACACTTCTCATATAAACTCAATTTAATTATAAACACTGCTTTAAACATCTGACAATATAAAGTTAAACTCACGGCAAAAATAACGCTTCTTCCAATAAGGTTTCATTACCGCACGCTTCGGGGATAGGCCCATGTTGTGTCCACATAACCTTTTCTCTTTTTAATGCGACTGATATTTGTATTTTTGAAATTCGAACACGAACACTACAACCAATCGGCGTTTTCTGTTCGATCGACGGCCACGTAGTGACGCCCCGCAATGCACAATTCACAAATGACCGCGATCGACCACGCGAATATTTCCTGTTATCACCTATCACAATACGTCACAGACCTCAGAACGGTATTCCCGCTATTCGACGTGGAGATCGTAACCGCGATCGGTGCGTGTTGGCAGTGTTGGCCTGTCATCCGGTGGCATCGGATGGTAGGTATTTGGAGCAAAGGTCACTGCAAGTCGAATTGAGCCGAATGTTCTAACTCTATACAGTGCCGTACGCGGAAACGAAAAAATTGATTGAACTCGAGTAATTTTTCATAACACGTTTCAACATAATGAAAGATGAGAAAATGATTTCTAACCTTACATTCCCAAAACGCAGCTAAATTTCAATCTAGAATCATGGCTTTGACTATAAAAATTAATTCAGCATTTTTTTTGATTTTGCCGAATTATCTTTTTTACTTGCACGTATAAAATTTAAGCTCTCCGTCTACGTAGAGTATTAATAATATTCGGCATCACATTCGAGATGTGAACAATGTCTCTTATCGTTATTTGTATAACATATGTGGGCAATAAGTACGTGTGATGTATTATTCACTCCACGCACATTTTAATCACGCGTCGCAATTACAACACCAAGCGATTTTTAGTTATTATTAACAATCTTTTACTAACCAAGTTCTTGCCTTGAGACAGTTATATCGAGGTGACAATCAAAAATCTGTTGGTAGCCTAGGTCTACAACGTGATCCCCTCCGATCAGGTAGCCGCCTTGTCGTGGCGGAGCGTAGCTTGGTCACCCACGGTGAAGTCAAGAGGATAATATGTTCAGCAGATGACGTCTTACGGCTGACATGATGATGATATTATAGCCTTGCGAGTTCATTCAATTACGATCGGCCTGTTATCGTCAACTCCTGCACTGCACAGTACAGTTTTTAGGGTTACGTACGCAAAGGATAAAACGGGACCCCTAAGACTCCGCTGTGTGTCTGTCTGTCCGCCTGTATCTCATGAACCGTTATAGTTAGACTGTTGAAATTTTCACAGTTGATGTGTTTCTGTAGCCGCTATAATAAAAAATACAATATATACAATATAATACTAAAAACAGAATAAAAAATATTTAAGTGGGGTTCCCGTACAACAGACATTATTATTTTGCCGTGTTTATAGATAATCAGTATGTCAGTCTCGCTTTCACTCCAAAGCCTACTGAACCGATTTAAATGAAATTTGGTACAGAGATAGTCTACCGCCTGAGGAAGGACAAAGGCTATTTTTTATTAGAAAAAAAGGGTTGTATATATTTTATATATTTTTTAAAGAAAGATATTAATTTAAGGGCTTCAACGCGAGCGAAGCCGCGGGCGAAATGCTAGTTACGGATAAATCTTTTAATCGAGCCTATTTCGTCCCATCGGTTAACGTCAATAGACTAGGCGTCAATGAGCAAGATCGTAACTGTCACGCCCAAGCCAATACCGCGTAATTTGTTATCAATAAAATACATGAATAACGTAAACTTAAAAAAAAACCCAAGCTTTCGTAATACATAATAGATAAGGGTATAAAAATATACAACAACTGCTTTGAATTACACAAAGTATGTCACAGCTGACGTTAAATTTATTTTGCAATAATTCCCAATGCAAATGAGTAATAAAGATATTTGACAGACATTTCGGCTTGGCTGTCACAATGGCGGATAGATTTGTTTGAGTTCTTCAGTTAGGTATATTCCATCGTAAAAGAACATTTGACTATAGCCAATGACATAATATGAGGTAGAGATATGACACTAGCGCACCGAGACTAGAATTGGAAGCACTAAAATTACGCCAATTGGTCTAATTAAATTGCAATTCTATAGATTCGAGTGACCATCTGTCACATTCATAGATGTCATATTGTATAGTGGAACAATTTTTAAACGTCGCAGTATGGACATACGTCATCTTTATTAAAACATTAGAAACCTAAGCTCAAGTTTCACTCACAGCCGCGGCTTTTTTAAAATTTATAATAAATAAAGTAAAGTATCAGCCTATATATATGTATATTCCACTGCTGGGCAAAGGCCTCATCTTTTTTACAAAGGGTATCAGGGCATAGTCCACCACGCAGCCCACTGCGGATTGGCGAACTTCACATGTCTTCGAAATATTTTTTTGTTGTTATTTCGAAAATATGCAGGTTTCCTCACGACGTTTTCGTTCACCGTTGACCACGTGATAACGTCGGCACATAAAATTAACAATTTCATTGGTGCTGGCACCGGGGATCGAACTCAGGTCGCTCAAGTATATTGAATTATGGGCGAGCGCCCGACACTGAGCTATCATGGCTATACTGGGCTATCACGGCTATATAACATATAATAATTATTAATAAGGGGATATTTGTTCGTGAACTAATAAATAAATGTTTTAGGACATATTTTTAGCACAACTACTAAGCTTGTACTACGGGCACTAGTTAACTGATTTTTCCAGCAGTCGAATCCACACACTCTGGCGCTGGATCTCTTTCTAAGTCTAGTGGCCACCACGCCAATCGGGTCGTCATACATTTCAAATGATGCGACTGTATCGATCAAGCCGTAAGGTTCCCTTGGAGATAGTTCAAATTCAAATATGTTTATTCAATATAGAAGCATTACACGTGCTTATTGTCAAAATGATATTTCGATGGGTGGCGTAACCGACAGCATAGCAAACATTCTGTCGTTGCAAGTGTCCACCGGTTACCATAGGGTGAGCCGATTCCCAATAGAAAATAGACCAGTATGGTACGGCGATATCTAAGCGAGACCAGCCATCATCACATGACATGTGGCTGACTAATCTAACTTTTAACCCGAAATTCGATCTCCATTGACCCCAGACCGTTTGTAGGATACCTTAAGGAAACCATTGTTTAGATAACACGCGATAATTAGATGCGGACTTCTATTTTTTTCTACTTCAGTCTTTTCTTTTTTACTAAAAATCTGACTCCCTCTGCAGGATAACAGATTGTTCTGTGTGTTGTTAATACATTTAGAATTAAATGCATATTCGGCATTTTTCTTAAAATAAATGTCGAATTTTTCCAACTTTTGTTGTAACTCAACAGAGATATCATAAAAAATTATACTTACATTCGATTCAATTCTTAGTTCGCTTCTACAACCATAATTAATCCCTGCTCTAATCTAATTAATAAATTATTTAATGCTGAGACATGGCTAATAGTTAGTATTTAGGAAAGAATTTCTCCACTCATCTACCAACATTTTAAAACTTGCATGTTGGCTTTATCGTGTGCTACTAGTTTTTTCAAACGTCCTTAACATTTAAAACATCTTCGAAAATAGAATGTTACTTAAAAAAATATGAACATCACGATTCTATTATCAAAACTTAATATACTTTTTAACCGTGCTGAATATATCGATATTTTTAACGATTCCCCTTATGTTTACAAAAAGAAAGTACTGAAGTCATTTCATTAGTATATATTATAGTATAGTATTCTTCAAAGTGAATTTTTTTTAAATTTATTTTTGATTCTTTATTGTTAGTCTATTCTTTGTATTTAATTTTTTATGAATTAGTTTTTTTTTTGTTTACTAAACTTTGTCACAATATAGTAAATGATGTACACACCTGTTATAGGTGTACATTTTAGGTCCAGTTTCTTTTTTTTAAATATTTCCTTTTTTTGTAAGTTGTGTAAATATGTATACTGTTGGTGTGTCTTAAATAAAATAAAAAAAATAAAATAAAAAACTGATGGTCAATAGATGCAGCCGCCGGGATCAATCCAAACAATTCCTCAGAACACTCCCCGTGATAAATGCGGTGGAAGATGCAGAGTGATCCAACATCTCTACGCAGAGCCAGAGGATCAAGCCGATCGGAAAGACTTTGATCGTCGATAACCCTAGCCGCCCTACGTTGAATGCGGTCAAATAGAAGAAGCTGGTAATAGGGGGCTCCCGCCCAGAGGTGAGAACAGTACTCCATGTGGGGCCGAATTTGCGCCTTATAGAGGTTTAGGCGTTGGGCAGCCGTGAAGTACCGTCTCGCCTTGCTGAGCACACCAAGCTTCTTTGAGGCCAATTTGGCCTTACCTTCCAATTGACCGCGGAACTGGACGTTGCTCGAGATTTCGACGCCAAGCATTCCGATACTAGCTGTGGCAGGTAGGGGAGTGTTCTCGAAATGAGGAGTCACGACAAATGGGGACTTTTTAGCGGTTAACGCGCAAACTTATGTTTTTTTGGGGTTGAATTGGACTAGGTTTAGCCGACCCCAGTTTGAGACTTTGGTTAACAAAGTCTCGACCTCAGACACAAGCTTGTTTACTGTTTTCGTTGTTAGATATTACGGTTTGCATTTTTAATTACATTTTGAAAAATATTATCTTAATTAATATTAACAAAACCATAGACTTTATGTAAATATTATTATTAAACAGTATATTATTAATATAATCAAACTTGCAATCATTACGTACAGATAAATTATTCAGATACAGAATCCGGCTCGAATAGATTATTAGAGATACGAACAAAATAAACATTAACATTGCATAATCGATATTGAAACTTGCTATTATGTCCCGGGACAATTGTTACTTGGGAGTCCATAAAATCTAGACCTACATAGAAACCGGCACGTGTAACACCCCGCAATTAAACCCGCTATTAACGTCACCACAACCCTCGCCAAATGGCACAGGTTGGGTAGGAACCCTAATAAACAAGCTGCCTGAAGTGGTGTAAGTTCGATTTTTATCTGTTACTAGCGACCCGCCCCGGCTCCCCCCTTCCCGGCAAACCTTCCCCTTGAATCACTCTATTTGGTAAACAAAACGGCATCAAGATCCGTTGCGTAGTTTTAAAGATCTAAGCATACATAGGGACAAATAGACAGCGGGACGACTTTGCTTTTACTTTTATACTATGTAGAGATATAAGAAAAATCGCACCGCAACGTTGATATTTACCCAACATACATAATTAATAAGTACCTGGAGGGCCGAGCTTTGGTCGGTTTTTTTTTTTGTAAATCATGTATTTTGGAAATTACATTTAGATACAAATTACTGAGTAATGAAATATGCATAATATTTTTCGATCTTACCGACGTAATAATAAGAAAATATGAACTGGTGTTTTTTTTTAAAAGGGAAAAAATAACAAAATAACAAATCGACAAAAAATAAAAAATAAAGAAAGCAATAATCTGGAATCGAAAAAAGTAAAAAAATAAGTGTGTAAAAATGAAACCTAGCTAGATCGTTTTTTCGCGTGAAGTGGAAGTATTATACTATCGCGCTTTGTCTGGTGAGTCCTCACTCAAAAGCTACCCCTAACCAGGATTGACTTTTCAAAAGGTTTTCGACGCATCTACAACACGGTTGTGTTGCAGATGTCGGCAATTACCACGACCTCACAGAAGACCGGCGTGAAGTCGAAGTGTACTTCTACGTTTCGTATGGTTAGTGAGGTAGCCGGGGCCCACTTTATTATAAGATGGCAACGAATATGCAACCGCACGGGTGTTGCAAATGGTGCATGGGCGACGGTTATTAATTAATATCAGGTGACCCCCGGTGCTATTGCCACCTTCTCACATTAAAAAAATCACTAACATCACGTGAACCATCTGTTTGCTTGACTACGTTTCACATAAAAAGGGACATTAATTCTCACCGTGCGCCAATTTTAAGAGGGTGATTGAAAAACACATCACGCAATAAAGATACGCCCTTCATGTGAATTTAAACGAGTTAGGGGTTGATAAATAGACATCCAAAGGTGGGCTACTTACATATGTCGCTAATGTTCAGGTCGACGGGGCCTTTGACCGAGCCATCTTGATCTACGCCGGACGGGACGCGCTCTGCAACACAGCACAATTGTGCAATCGTTAGTTACCTTGACTGCTTGCTTGTCAGCGACTGGCTGGAAGCGGCCAAGAGGTGCCAACATGTACACAATGACTTTACCAAGAACTGGCTATATCTTTAACAAGAAGGAAAGTGTTGTCGACTTCCATAGTGAAGGATTGTATGACAATATCGAATATTTTCGATTGATTTTTATTTACAAAGGAATAAATATAAACATTATTTGGGAATACTTTAATATTATGGAAAAAAACGTCACCTAGGAATAGAAAAATAACATAAGATTCTGAAAGGATTATTTAGTATATATTCTGAGTTATGTAAAAGCTGAGTAGAATTGTGTGCCAGAATGTATTATGGCAATCGACTCGTCACTTTATTCAAGTGATCGGATAATGTAACATACAACAGTAGCAAAAATATTTAGAGACATTAGGAAAAGTGTGCATAACTAAGAAAGATAAGGTGACATTTCGTGCCGAAAAACCTATATTTATGCATTGGGTACAATTCTGCAACTCAAGAACTCAAGGTTTCGATACAATTTTTGCAACAAAAACTAACCATCAAACCAACATCGTGCCAAATCGGTGTTAATACGACAATGGAAGTAAGTACAATTCCAAGTGCTACAATATTAGGTAGGAAAAGGCAAATACAACAACTTTAGCGACGACAAATGAAAGATAAGTTAGAGCAAGATTTCTTTTTCATCATGGAATAGATTGCTCATTGACTATCATCGCACAAAATCAAGAGGCTTGCTGTCTGCACTTTTGCTCGAAACTGGACAGATTGGCCCCACATTCAGTATCATAAAAAAGCCCCTTGGCACGCCTCTATCGCGCTAGATGACTAGATGAAGCAAGGGAGGCCGAACTAACTATACCACTTAACTGCATAGTCAAATTGTAAAAGTTACTTTTATGAGTACCATTTGTCATGTGCAACTGTGAAGATGTGTTAATTCGTTGATATCATGATGTGCCAACGATTATGGATGACGTTATTCAAAATTTCAAATCAAGTAATCAACCTTCTTTGACAATGTTATAAAATTTGATAATACATATAAGCAAACGGATGATTAAATAAAATGATCTGATTCTAGGCAAGCTCGTCTAAAAATGAGCAACTGTGACAACACTCTCCAGAGTACAATGAAACAGTTTGTTATAGACAGTTATTTATTTATTTTAAGACTTCATGCACATAACTCTGTACATAGGCGGACTTAATGCTGACAGCATTTTCTACCAGTCAACCTTAGGGTGGTACCGAGATTTTGAGGTAGGTGCACAGACATTTAAAAAAATATTATACTAATTACACATAAATATATACATAATACAATACAATTAAATAAAAGTTAGACAATAAACAAAGTCCAGCGCAGTTACTGGATTACATACTCCGCTGATGTCAAGAATATAGGTTTTATAGTGCAGCGGAAGGTATTTATTGCGTTTTAAATGCTCTCTGCATAGAAACACAAGAGAATGACTAATAACTGACTTCAATGCATAATATATGTAGTTGTTTGTACAGGTAACAGATATGCATTACATTCATAAAATAATAGTTAACGAGTGCATGTGTTTCGCTCGTCAAAGTGTATAAATGAAAGCTAATGTTGAAATAGTATCATATATAAGTAAGAAATTGATTTATTAGATATCAATAAATCGATATAAAGAAATTTTTCTTCACCGACGACATCCCTATGCTGTTTACACCCCGTAGGGGTACGGTTTCTTTTCCTAATGGATTTTCCTATGGTGTTTGAAGTTGAAAAGTATATATAACTGACCAATAGTATGATGAACATGAAGTTCGCGAAAAATACGGTCTCAAGTTGAAATCCACTTTAACAGTCCTTTTCAATCAACCCGTAAGACGAACGATACGAAATCACTGAAAGTAAATGACGATATTGTCGTTATTTTAACAAAACAACATTTGTTTTTAAATCCAAAGACGCCGATGATCTCAACGTTTTACAAGTATATATACAGCCTTGTAGTTATAATTGAAAAATACGAAGACCTTTTTGCACTAAAAATGTCCATAAAATTGATATTTTAAGCGGAACTTTAATATTGTAAGTTTACTATATCGGTAAAAGGATAACACTTGAATGAAATATCTATAAATAATAATCAAGTTCTGAGAACTATAAGTATAAACGACCAAAAGGTTTGTCAGGTCTATTATAATAAAAAATCGTATGTAATTCAAAAGAATAGTTTAACAATAATATTTACACATTATACTGTTGTTGTTATACATGTTTGGAAAATTAATTTACACGATTGTTTTTCTAGCTTTCTATTAAACTAATATAAAACTAGTTTTTTTAAAATCTTGTAACGGATTGGATGAATTGTATATTGAACATGTTTTATCTTTCCTGTCAAAAAGCATTACAATATTACTATACCATATTCCCGTGACCTTTTCGAATTCAGGTGAATACGACCCTGTGGTTCAGTTATATGAAAAAACCTCAGGTTAATTATTAAACTTTTATGCACCTAAAAGTCGAACTCTTTACCGTATTACTTGTTCTTTATGATGTATAAATAATTTTTACTTGGTACTGGCACCTTGGGTCGTCGTCTGGGCGAGGGCAAAAGTTCGGAAACACTTTTTGTCAATTTTTAGGATTTCGTACAAAAAGAGTAAAACGGGACCCTATTACTAAGACTCCGCTGTCTATCTGTCTGTCCGTCTGTCACCAAGCTGTGTATCTCATGAACCGCGACAGTTGAAATTTTCACAGATTATGTATTTCTGTTGCCACCAAAACAATACATAAGTATTTAATTGGGGCTCCCACACAACAGACATGATGTTTTTGCCGTTTTTATAGATACGGAACCTTTCGTGCGCGAGTCCGACTCGCACTTGGCCGGTTTTTTCTACAAACTAAAATGTTTCACCCTAAGTGCAGAGATTGGCACTGGCAATTAAATAAAAATGAAATACGTTAGTAAGTCGTAAACTGATATTTCTCGTAATATTCAGTGTGATATACCGGACACCACAGGTACAATAAACTCTCTAAGGACGAAGAAACAATACCTGCTAGTTTCTTCCTCGAATACACCTGCAGGACATAGAACATCTTGAAATGAATATCTTCAAAACGCTTAGACACGGCGAAAGCGGGTTTTTATTATAGCGCGACCGGTCTTGAGGAAGTCTGATGGACGACTGAGGAGGACTAGGAGGAGCTCTTTAGGTGCGGGTTTGTTTGAGGAAAACATCACGAGGAAGTCACTCCCGTCTTAGCTTGTTTTGCGGCGAACGGAGGCCCATTACGTCAGCCTGGTTGAGCCTAACTATTGAAATTGTTTCTTTTGCGTTTTTTTTATAATCGCATTTTTTTTTTCATAATGGATACTCGCCGCGCTGGCTCTTCTCTCGCTGCAAGTGCAGCTGGTTGTATTGTTTAGACGACAGTGCATGTGAGTGCATCCGTATTTCGGTACATCGTTCGTGATGCGTAAAAAAATGAAAAGTAATGGTCCATATTGATTTCTTAACCGTAAAATAGTTTCATTTCACAAGTGACAGTCCAAAAAATATTTCCCACCGCTGGGCAATGGCCTTTGAATTGATCATTCTGATTGTTAAAAAGATCATTCTGATCAATTCAGAGTGTTTAACCATCCTTTTGGCAACTTAAATAACATTTGACAGCTGATTTGTTAACATCTACGATGATCAGTGTTTCAGAAACCAGGCGTGAAATATATATGTATGTATATATATTTTGTTTTCATGTCCATTGCTTTTCGCAAAAAATTATTACCATAATTAAAGTAAATATCTATAAATACCATTGAAGTAGAAGAAAATCAATTTTCTATTAAAGTCCTGACGGCTGGTGGGATCGGCTGGCGTGGGAAACTATTTTTTTAGTCCGTGTGTCTTTGCTGACGTCAGAAAATCCCAAAGGCCAAAGCGTCCTAACCAAGTAACTAATTTGATTTTGTTACAAGATGACATCATCTGCGCGGGACACCATGGGGTGCCTCTAAGCTCTAGCCAAGTTAAAACTTCTCGCAATTAAATAAATATTTGCAGTGAAATTATTTTATATTTCCATCCAATTTTATAGTATTAAGGCTCTGAGTCTACCTTCTTCTACTTTATAAGTGCTTGCAGTCTACGCGCCTACATTTTTCGCTTGTCCGCAGAGTTGTATAGGCGCGGCGTGAATTTCCAACATCCCCAATCATCGCTATATATCGGCCAATTTATACAGAACCTTAACGAATTATACAACTAAGCCTTCCACGTGAATCATTCTATCCGATGGTGAAAACCGTATGAAAATCCGTTCAATAGCTCTTGAATTTTTATCGGGTACAGGCAGATTTTTATACATTCAGGCAGGTGATAATTAATGTGAATTAACAGGCTACGTATCCTACTGTTGGGCAAAGGCCTCCTCTTTACAAAAGGTAGGCAGACATAGCAATCTTCGAAATATTTTATTGTTATTATTACGAAAGTATGCAGGTTCCGTCGCGATGATTTCCTTCCTTGCCGAGCATGATATGTTAGCACTTAAGATTGCAATTACCAATATCATTTGTGTCGACACCGGGATTATAACGCGGGCTGCTCGAGTAAACTAAATTGATAGCGAGCGCCCGGTCACTGAGCTGTCGGGGCTTGCAGAATGAACTATACGGAAATACCTACTTGTATATTAGAAATGACGGCAGTGATTGTCTAGTGTTCATGTTGTTGGTTAGACCCGCAATCCAAGATTCGATTCCGAACCACGACGTAGCGGACACTGGGCTGAGCTTGTTTAGTTAGATGTTTCTGAAGGTCGATGTCAAATTCTGTCACTTGGTTAATACAGAAACAAGATTTATATTTATACATAATTATATGGTGGTCATATTGGAGAAGTATACGTACCATATTTCAGCAAACAAAACCAATTTGAATTTGGTATAAGAAGAAATCAGATGGTTACAGTGCTATAAATATAGTATTCGAATTTGGGCCAATTATTTTAAATTCGATAAATGTGGCCTTCAATTAATGAGTCATTCGTACGTGTTGATCAATTAACATGGCAATCAGCAAAGCTAATCAAATGTTATGAGTACGATTACACTGAAACAGTATCGTTTTCTTAATTGTTTCATAAACTTATTTATTGATAGTCTTATGGAATTGAAGATAATAAACGCCCGTAATAAAATTTAGATTCCGTCTGTGATTTTAAAAAAAAAAATTGAAATGTTTAAAACACTTTAATATCGTTGTTAGATCCACGGGAACCGAGCCGTCACAGATCAGCTGTCTGTGACGGCTGGAATCTGTATATTTTATTAATGCGTGGTTTTCGCGTAAGCAGAAGAAATTCTGGTGTGCAGTTGTTAAGCTACTGGCTTCGGCGCCTTGAGTATTGAACACACGACGGATTCAATTCCCATCGGGGGCAAGTATTTGTGTCCTACAGAGAAAAGTTCCGTGTCTGGTTAGTTATTCGCAGGGAGCTTTTACTTCGGGCCGCAATCTTCTTCTTTTCCCGTTCAATCCATTCTCCTTTGGAATGACTTTCCGTATGACATCAGGAAGACCACTGAACGTAATGCTTTTAATAATAAGATAAAAAAACTATATCTAAGTAAGTTGGCAGAATTAAATCATCAGTAGTTATTGATATCGTATATTATTTATTTATGTATATTAATTAAGTTTTTGTGAATATTATAATATATCTATTCTATTTTGAATCCTTAAATAATGTAATATATTTTTGTTATATTGGATTTTAATATGTATATACAGCGTGTCGTTACCATCGCGACAATAAATGAACACACGTCTAACGCTACTTGCCAATAATCATAAAAAAATATTAACGTTAAACAAAATCCATAATTAAAAAAAAATATTTTTCAAACAAACTAATTAAGTAAAAAAGAAACAAAATTTGTAACATCCTATACAACTCGCGCCACAGCGTCGCATTACAAGCCTCTCCTTCTAACTGTATGTTTTGTCTCTTCTAAATTCATTCAACCCATTCATATGCTTTGTGACCTTTACAAATGAACTTTACGTTACAGTTTTATACGTAAGGGTGTTCTAAAATTCTTTGTTTTGGAAAATTGAATAACTCTGTAAATATTGATGTTTAAAGAATGTTAATGTTTAATACAATTTTAAAAAGGTATCCTCTATATGTGTGTTCATTTATTGTCGCGGTGGTAACGCCACGCTGTATACTTTATATATTTTCATGTATATGTTTTTAATTTAATTGTATATGAATATGTATATAACTTTTATTTTAACTTAAAATTTAATTTGAAACTTTTTACACCTGCCTCTTTCGTCTCTTGGTCGCCCATAGGTTGACTGGTTGATGTGTGTAGGCGGACACATATACACAATGTTAATTTTTTGTGTAAAAGTTTAAATAAACAAATAAATAACCCTAGCCAATAGCACTAACAAGATGGTTCAGGAGTTGTGACGACTCCAACAAGGTGAGATAAGGACACCCCGCCGACCGGGTTCCCCGCCTTGACGTCACGGAGGGACTTAGTAGCCCGTGGCTTGGTCGACCACGGCCAAACTAAGAGGTGAGATAAGGGCGGGAAAAAGTAGCGTTGACAGTACTCACCAAAACTTCAATTATTTAAATATACTTGTCATTAAAACATTACGTTCTAGTGGAGATCTATTGTAGTATAGAAGTTCTATTGTAGTCTTCCTTTCGAAAACATTGCTACCTTACTAAAGGGTAACAGAATACTAAGGACTAACTAATAATAAGGATGTTTTACATACATAAATTTCACGTGGACAAATACCCAAATCCGAAATATCAGAATCAGCTCATATTATTCAAAACTGTTAACACCTAAATAAGAAATATAATTTTAGTAATTAAAATCTATTAGGACTTATTAATTTGATATATATAACAGTGACCATTCAGCATTTCTAGTTTGTAGATTAGCACTTTTCTTAATGAATGACACATGCTTATAAAACCTAACAATGATTGTCCAAACGCTTACATCATTTGACGAACACTTGGCCGAAATCTTGTATGAATGTTGGTTGTAAGACTGTGAGTGTAATATAAAATGGGACGTCAGTAACGTAACTACTAAATCTCGAAAATAAAAAAACTTAAAATAAGTTTTGCTATGCTATGGACTACGAAATCATTTCGACATTGTCAGTCACATAAAAACGTCTTTTTTTTAATTGCATTATTATAATTCCTTTTTTTTCTTATGTGAAAAGCTACCAAACGAGCAGGCGCTTCACCTGATGTTAAGTGAATACCTGCTATACCCGAGGGTTGCAGATGCGTTGACAACCTTTTGAAAATTGGGCACCGGCTACCTCACTCGCCAGACGAAACGCGAAAGTAATTATACTTCCACTTGACGCCGGTCTTTTGTGAGGTCGTGGTACCTACCCGGACGAGCCTGCCCATTCGTGCAACAGCCGAGGCTGCTGCGTGGCTCTACCACCGTAAGTATAAGTACTATAATTGTATTAAATTCCATTTTGTTGGAAATATTGGCGCCCCCCGGCTTGTGTATAGAAGACGCTTGCGTCAAATGTCCAAAAGAAAGCATGAATCGAAGAAAATATGTTAACTTTGATACATAAATGTTTTTTTTATTTCTCTTGCTTTTTTTTCTATCGAAGCACGTGAAGCGAGTTTGTTAATTCATTCGCAACAAATACGAGACGGCGGACGCCCAAAGGTTAATAAGCTCGTGATAAAATATTTGCGTCGGTGCCTATACAATTAAACTAGTTAGTAACTACTCTCAAACCATACACAAAGTGACTGTAAAGGGTATAAAAGGAAGATATTTGAAATCGAAACCGGCCAAGTGTGTGTCGAACTCGCGCACGAGGCGTTCCGTACTATTATCTAATATATAAAAACGGCAAAAAAAAAAAAACATGTCTGTTCTATGGGAGAACCCTTAAATATTTTTTTATTCTGTTTTTTAGTTTTTGTTGTTATAGCAGCATCAGAAATACTTCATCTGCGAAAATTTCAAGTGTCTAACTATCACGGCTCATAAGATAAAGCCTGGTATCAGACGGACACAC